CAAAGATCACCGTCGGAGGAGCCTCCGCTGTCCCCGTGTTGAGCCTGTACTACCGATCCTTTGTTTGATATTCTCATGGGTTTATTCTCGAAGAGGTGAAGTTATGCGATCTTAGCTTTTCTGCTCTTCTGTAATTTCACCAATCACCGCAGCTGCGGCTGTCACTAGTGTTACTCTTTCTCCCAGTTTCCGTGTATATGGAAACATCATCTTGTGCTGCGAAAATCCACCTCCGGAGCTAAAGTTATCTTTCATCTCCGCTCGCTACCCCTGAAATGATTGATCTAACGAAGAAAAATTACCCATCATATCTACAGCCTTCACAGATTAGTGACAAACCAATCATGGTAATGACAACTATCCTTCATCAAAACACATTGATAAGTTGATTGTTCACTGAGATGTATATCAGGAAACCCTCCGAACATCAGGATGAAATCAGTCTCTTTTCAGGGCTTTAGTCTTTTTGTAGAATGTGGACCAATTAAATAGTTGTATAGCTTTTAGATAAAACAAAATGAGGATAGATCTTTCGACTTCGCATTTAGCTTGGCTGTTACACCCCACAATAGCATTTTTAGAAGTTTTAAACTTTCATACAACGCTGAATAAGGTCACGAGACTCTTCAAACACTTTATCGATCAATAAGAAACCGCATATATAAATGTTAATTTAGACTTACCTCGGGCCGATTAGGTCTCTGATGTGTTACCTTAGGCGGCGTCAGCCGTTCTTTTGCCATGTCTGCCATTGGTTGATCGATATGACTTGCAGTATCACCTGATAACAGCTCTGTAGAGTTTCCGAAGCTGCACGCAATGATATGTATTACCAGCATATGCAAGCCTATGACGATTTGGGAATATAAAACAGACGTTAGTTTATTTCCCGGCCAACGAAATGGGGAAATGATTCTGAATGTTGAGCAATATGAGGGCGGAAGCTGTTGTTTGCCGCTAGCTGTGACAAGACAGATGGCTCACTGCCATTTGCACCATTTGTATAAAATGTCAGGGCCCCCGGCTGACAATTCACCCATCAAATAAACTTTTCCATTAATCTAAAGCCTACGCTTAGCTCCTCGGCTAAACATGCAACTTAGTCCCTATTAAGGTGCTCTGATGCGCGGAACGCAGAAGCCCCGTCTGTCCGCATTCCCTCCGCCACTTGCAGCTCACGGAATATGCAATACGACTTGTGTCACAGCATATGCTGTCCCAGGATCAAACCTACAGCCCGGAACGCAAAACCGTCAGCCAGAGCTGAGAAGGGAATCTCCGCACCACGTCGTGTGATAAGTTCCTGCCTTCAGCAATGCTTACGCATTCTTAGAAGGCCTTTCGAGCCTAAGCCGTCTGAAAAACATCCGCTTTGATGGATCACTCGGCACTCATTGCGCAGCTTCGGAAACAGGACGAAGAAAGATACGCTTACCTTGAGGTAGCTCGAAGCCTTCACTGTTCATCTTAAATCCAGCTTCTCAGATATAATAGGTACTAAGTACAGAGCTCGTTGTTTTGCGCAATGAATACAACCGCACCTCATCTATCCTCAATCGAGAGAGAGAATCATCTCATATGCTCCAAGATGTTAGAGACAAGCTAAGAGGAAGAATCGAAACCTTAGAACGTACTCTGGTAGACATCTTCCCCAACACTGACGTTAGAAGTAGCTGATCTTCCGAATAGGACCAAAATTGCTTCGTGCTTGTACTGATCCATGCGGATACAGGTGGCTACCTGGTGAGCGCAACACCGCAAACTGCCTTCCAACGACAACCGCTGACCGTTACCAAAGTTCGACGAAAAATACATAATCCAAGGTCACTACGGTGGCCTTGCAGCGGCGCATAAACTAGAAAATACGCTACGGGCATACCTAGTTACGCGCTCCATCAGCGTCTCCAGACTACCTCTCATGATCCGGGTGTATGCCAACATCGATGAGCTCTCTGTGGCAATACGGAAAACAGGAACGTCAGAAGCCGCAGAACAGCTTCGGCGCTTTGCTTACGGGTTTTCCTACAGCAACGCACTGTTTGACTTCATACCTACAAGCAACGGAAGTGAGGGAGCAAGCCAGAAGATCAGAGGTAGTCATCTGCCATTCACAAAATCGGTCCTTGCCACTAACTGGATATTTTCACAGGCACTTTCGAGCAATTCGTAAGAAACCCCACTTGCCGACACCTCATATTGGGTGCCTGCCATGACACTTCCTATGTCCAGGCTCTGGAAGAGGTCGCCAAGGACCCAGACGTCCGTAACCGCATTACACTTCTAGAACCGTTCCAAACCACAAAAAAATACTCAGCTTTGCCTTTCCAATCCATCAGGTTGGACAGTTTCTTCAGAGATTCCCGACCGAGCACGTCTGCGAGCGCAAGCTTCGATGTGTTGACCAGTAATCCTCAAAGATCCAGCTACCCACATTATTCTTATGGCCCAGATCCAAGAACTAGCAGAAGCTCAGACAACATTTTATCAAGCATTCCTCAAAGTCCAACGCTATGGTCTCTGCCAAAAGGCTTCATCCTCATCAATGAAAACGGACAAAGGATCGATAATCAGCTGCCAGAGGCAACCGCTGAAGCCATCGAATCCTTAAATCAGAAAACAGCCAAAGACCAAGGACGGATCTGCTACGTTTTCCAGGTCAGAGGGTACTGCTTGGAGGGAAAGAAGTGCAGATTCCCGCACAACCGGTTGCTTCCTGAAGAAGTTCTGGCGCTAAGGCATCACTTGAGAGGCCAGCCGTGTAAAGCTGGGCTTGGTTGTCGCAATCCCGACTGTTTCTTTGGACATCAGTGCTCTTGTGGGGAGAGGAAATGTCTGTTCAGCAAGGAGATGCATGCGGTGAAAAAGGACAAGTTGACGGCCGTTCAGGCTGTGCCCTGACGTCTACTTTTTTTACGGCAGATTGTCCAAGCCCTTCGGATCATCGATAGGGAAGGATGGTATGCCGTGCGTTACTACAGAAGAAATTTTTACGAATTTTGAAACAGCCGACAACGATGGTGAAGCTGATATTCGTCATGTCTTAGACATTGGGGAATCAGAGAATTTTGTACCTGCCTGAAGATGATATAGGCTTTGCTGACAAACAACAGCTCGATCCCGATCACCATCGCAACAAGGACCCACCGACGTCAAAATTCTAGCGCGATGCGGCAGTTTCCCGCGGTTGTGGTCCGATCCCGGAGCTCGGACTGATGGCGTTCAAATGCGGGGTCGGCACAACGTCACGTCCATCGACGCTCAACACCACTCCGCCATCCACCATTCATCGTCCAAATCCGCCTCGCGCCCGGCACTTTCCACAATGCGATAATAACCAGGAAGAGGAGGCGAAATCCCGGACCTTAGCACTCGATGTGGCCAATCGCGGGTGCCGCCGTGATGCCCAAACGGGAATCCCCATGCACTGGGAAGCGTCATTCTATGCCGCACCCGCAAGCGCCATCAAGCCACTCGGTTTATGCGCAGCTCAACTGCCGGCAGCGGGCCAGCTGCCGAGAAACCGCGTTCGGTTTTGGATTTCCTGCAGCCAGGAGAATGGCGTTGCGCGGCTTCGATGCTCGACATCAAACGCGGCTGCATAGAGCACCTGCGCATCGCCATCGCCATCGGTCGACGTCCCCACAACCTCGCTGAGTAAAAACGCCTCTCGAGTGCACGTTCTCGCCGCACGGGAGGGATCCAGACTCGAGGTACGGGGACGAAAATCTGGGGCTTGCCGGCGCCGCATCCTGATTGGACAACCACCCTTGAACATGTAGATCGTAGCCCGTGCAGGTGATGCGGGGCCCCAGATTTCGTCCAGGACTAAGCTAGTTTTGGACTGGGTTTGGGGTCAATGGCTTGCCCGTCGCCTCGGATGGCTGGCTCGACCTGGATCTGGATCCCATCGGTTGTCATTCGGCAGTTTGGGCACGATGGCGAGGTTAAGAAGAGCATCATTCACATCCGCGGAAGACGACGACATCCTTTTCGGTCATCTACAATTGTGTTCTGGTAGAGCCTTCTCGTTGCCTTTTCTTTCCAGACATTGTTGCTCGCTGTGTTCCGCTATCGTGGCATAACCGAGGTCTATACTGCTGTTGCTCAGAAGAGCATCAAGCGTATCTGTCTCTGAGAAACAGAGTATTCGAGCTCTACTTTCTTCACTACCGCCATCATGGAGATGAATTCTACAGACAAGGTGATACAACATGGCACCAAACATACTCTCAGAGGACTGCAGCTGATTCAAACACAGGAGCTTCACCAAATCGAGGCGGAGCTCCACACTGAAATCCTGCCCGGCACGGAAGTTATGGAAGACGTCGGATCGCATCATTTTGTCAAGTCGGGCGACAGCTCGCACCGCGTCTTGGTGCCGCAACCCAGCGACAACCCACACGACCCCCTCAACTGGTCTTTCAAATGGAAGTTCGCCGCCATCTCCACATCGACATACATTAGTTTCTGCCAGGGCTTTGGACCACTAGCGCTCGCGCCCATGTTTGGGTTCTACATAAAGGACTTCCACTGCTCTCTTGCCGACGCGATCCAATTCACTGGCGTGTGCATTTTAGTTCTAGGGTTCAGCAACTTTATCTGGTGAGTGCATGTTCATGGCATCTCACACAACGGTGGATCCTGACACAAAGGCGCAGGGTACCCATCAGCACGTCGTTTGGCCGACGACCCGTCTACATTTTCTCCAACGCCATCTGCTTCGGCTCATGCATCTGGCGCGCCAAAGCCCAGACGTACGGCAGCTTCATGGGCGCCTGTGTACTCAACGGCATTGGCGCCGGGCCAGCCGAAACCATCCAACCCGCCGTCATCGCCGACATCTTCTTCCTGCACGCGCGCGGCAAGTGGAACACGCTGTACTGGGTGGCGTACATGGGGTCGCTGATGTAGACACGCCTTGTTCATCCCTATACACGCAGTAAAACAAGCTAATGCGCGCAGGGTCGGCCCCATTATCTCAGGCTCCATGTCGGAGCGCGTGGGCTGGCGCAACTTCTGGTGGCTCAACGTCGCGATGACGGGGCTCGCGTTCCTGATGGCGGTGTTCCTCTTCCCGGAGACAAAGTACCACCGCGCGCACCCGGACGAGGTCGCGCCAGTCGCGGTAGCACAACGCTCGCCGGCGCCGTTGGCCCACGATGACGACGAGAAGAGAGGCGAGCTACGGGTCGAGAACCTCGCCGGCTCCATCGACAGCACCGCCCTCGCGCTCGCGAACACGGCCACGCACACGACGCACGCCGGCGGCGGCGCGGACCTTGAAACCCAGCCCACGGCGCAGCGCGACCCGTACCTCGGGCGCGGCTACCCCAGCAAAGCGCAGTGGCGGCTCTTCACGCCGAACGCGCACCCCTGGGCGTCGATCCTGCTCGACCTCTGGGTGCCATGGAAGCTGTTCGCGTTCCCGATCGTGCAGTTCGCATCCTTTGTCGTCAGCTGGAGCTGCAGTTCGTTCCTGACGATCAACCTGACGCAAGTGCAAGCGTTTGCGGCGCCGCCGTACAGCTTCTCAGCGCAGTCGATCGGGTTCATGAATTTCGCCATCCTGGTCGGCGCGTTCATCGGGCTCGCCACCGCCGGCCCGCTCAGTGACTGGGTCAGCGATCGCGCCACGCGCCGGAATAGAGGCGTGCGCGAGCCTGAAATGCGCTTGGTCGCTATGGTGCCGTATGTGCTGGTCATGATTCTGGGCAACGTCTGCGTCGCCGTCGGTTACCAGGACCATTGGACGTGGGCCGCGATTGTGGTCGTGGGGTTTACGTGCGCGGGCATCCAGGTCGCGGCCCTGCCGGCTATCGTGAGTACGTATGCCGTCGATAGCTACAAGCCGGTGGCGGGCAGCTTGTTTGTGAGCATTACGGTGAATAAAAATGTGTGGGGGTATGGGTTCAGTCGGTTTATTACCGAGTGGAGCGAGAAGGATGGGTGAGTTTTTCTGGAGTTTCTGGTTGTGACTATCACTGATTCTCTTGATAGATTCATTCCTCCGATTATGACGAATTGCGCGCTGATTACGCTGTGGTGCCTCTTTGGCATCTTGTTCTACTACAAGGGCAAGACGTTCCGAAGATGGACCAAGGACAGCAGTGTGCATAGAATGTAGGCGGCTGTTACGAGGTCTCCATATACAGCAAGATATAATCCAAAATTCAAGCAGTAACAACCAACCAACCTGTCACTTCAACTCCTCACCCTTCCACTTTTTTTTCTCTGTTCGAGCACACACTATAACCACCACCAACCACCGCCAACAAGCACGTCAAACAGCACAACGCAAGCACCCGTTCCCATCCACGATCCATACCAAGCCCCCGCAACATCCTTTGTTAACTCCCTCCAAACCAAACAATAAAGCCATCCATATCATCAAGCGCAATTAAAGGCCTCACCACCACTTATTCACGCGCATAGTTCACGACCACAAACCGCATTACCACAAGACAAAGCACCGCCACTCGCAGTATGTAACAATATAACCAGCCTAGTACCGAAAATAAAACCGCACACACTCACAACGAGAAAGCGAGCTTCAACGCACACAAGCAAGCAAGCACACTTCCACCACGAACGCAACCATGTCCGGTAGCAGGTACTATGGCGGAGGCGACTCCAACTACGGCGGCGACAGCTACAACAGATACGAGTCCCCCCGCGACTACGACGACTTCGATGACGACAGGTACCCCCGCGGAAGCACGCGCCCCGTCCGCGAGTGCGACGGCCTCTTCCCCCCCTGCCACGACTGCCCCCGCGTCGCAGCGGCCCGCGAGCGTGCGCGCGCGCTGCAGCTGCAGCAGCAGGAGCGCGACGTGTCGCCTGTGCGGATGAGCCAGCCCCCCGTCGAGCAGCGCTACTACGCGCAGCAGCGCTACCTCGACGAGCGCGGCGTGCAGCACACGCTGCAGATGCAGTACACGCGGTCTGGGCCCGGCACTGGCACTGGCACCGGCACTGCCGAGCAGCGCGGGCGGTACGCCGAGACTTCGCGGGAGCGCGAGAGCGTGCGCTACCCCGCCGAGCCGTCGCGCACCAGCAACCTCCTCATGCCCCGCGACGCCTCTCCACCCTACACCTCCGCGCGCTCCTCCTCCTCCGGAGGCGTCTCGGCGCGCCCCTCCTCCCTCTGGGAGCCCGCCCCCTCCGCCCGTACTGCACCCCCGAGTCGGTTCCTGCTTGAAGCGCCGCAGCCGCCGGACACGCAGCGCCTAGCGCAGGACGCGGGCGGCTGGGCGGCGGGGGAAAGGGTGCCGCAGTTTGCGCGCCGCAGCCGTGATTACGGTTCAAGGGGTGCTGGGGATATGGAGGATTTGTACTGCGGAGGGTCGAGGCGGTTCTTTTAGCTGAGGGGTGTGTGCGGCTGTTCTTCGCCGGCTGCTGAGTGCTGACTGACGGAGCTGTTGAGAGCTTGGTGCGGTAGGTAAGTATGTGTGCTTTTGAGGGGTCTGGTGTCCTTTCTTTCTTCCCCTCCTTCTTTCCTTTGGGTTCTTTCTTTCCTTTACTAAATTCCTTATACGGTGAATGAGCGAGAGGAGAAGACAAAACGCAAACACAAAACACAAAAGAACGTCAAAATCTAGCCAACGAAAATGCGGAGGCAAAAAATAGGGAGAATAAGAAAAAAAAAAAAAAAAAAAAAAACAATTAAATAAAAGATTAAAATGACTGTATTTTCGATTTTAGTATGTGATGTGATGTGAATGTGTTGGTTATAGCTTAGGCAGTACGAGAACATCCACCGTTTACTCTAAGTCATTGCTCTTATTCCTCTTAAGAGATATTCTACGCGTCTGGTATAGTACGCGCGTAGGTAGTTATTATTACCTCCATTCCCTTTATTTCTTATCTAGGTACGTGTTATGCTGTTAGTGGAGCGGCGTTGCCGCAGCGAGGCCTGTAGGGGAGGGAAGGAGCTCACGAGCTACCTCGCGCCTTCTTCTTTGACCTCTCGCCAGCCTTCGCGACTTCCCGCCTCGTCATTCTCCGTTGTTTGTTTTTCTTCCTCTTTCTGATCATCTATCTACCTTATGCTCTCAACGGTTGACTTCCGGTTTCATGACGCGGACCCAAGTCTACCACAGCGCAGTTCGACGCCTTCATCCATCCACCGACACGCACACCTCCACCGCAGCCCACACGCGCAACCCGCACTGCGGCCACCTATGTACGCGGCCCCGCCCGGGCACACGCACAGCACCGCCTTACCAACCCCCCCGCACGCTCCACACAACCCAGGAACAGCATACCAGACCAAATCCCACGAGCCTACGGACCCAGAGGTAGGTGAAGCAAACGCAAAAGGCAAAGCCAAGGTACACACATACTCAAGACCGACAACACACCACAACATACAATAGAGACCAGGCCAAACCAAAGATGATATAATACGATACGATACAACCAGACAGGATAAAATAGGACAGGATAGGATATAAACATAAGAAATAGACATTAAAGCCCCTCGTCCCCTCTCTGCGCCCTCTCTCCTTCCTCTTTCTAGTCGTCATAAATACCAACACCCACCCCACACCATACTACACCCCAGCTTCTACTTCTACTTTGTCTTTTTCCACAATTCCACTCCTAGGTACGTCCCCATCATCATCATCGTCATCATCATCTCTAGGTAGGTAGACGGTAGAGCGTACCCTGTCTCTACACTTACACCCCGCACCAACACCTCGCGACACCGCATGCATGCGTGCATCCACCAACACCCAGCCAGCCAGACCGACAGACGACAGGCGGCACAAGCACAAAAACAAGCACACAACGCATCTCTCCTCCTCCTCCTCCCCCTCTCACTCCCCTCCCCCCACCCCCACCCCTGCACCCCTGATCCCCGGCCTCCAATCTCCGCACGCACGCACGCACAGACCTGACCTGCCCTGTCCAGAGCAAACGTGAGCAGAGCAGAGCAAAGCAGAGCAGAGCACTGCGGTTCGCGCCTCTCAACCAGAACCAGAATCAAAAGAAGCTTGCCTGCGTGCTTGCGTGCATGCGTGCTTGCTTGCGCATCCACTCCACTCCACCACCTCCTACGTACCCATTTCCTCTCCAGCCTCCATATCCAGAACGAAGAAAAAGAAAACGAAAAACGCAAAAAAAGGCAAAGCGAAACCAAAGCAAAGCAACAAAAAGCAAAACCAAAAGCAAAAAAAGCATCCAGATTCAACGTCCCGCTCAACTCAACTCAGCCACGACCACGACCACCATCATCATCATCAACAACCACAAAAAACAAAAAAACAAGCTAAACCAAGCCAAGCAATCAATCAGACGTTCAATACAAGCCGCGCCAAGCCCAGCCAAAGCCAAGCCCAGCCCAAGCCAGCTGCGCAGCATACAAACCGACACCATCCATCAGTCCATCCGTCCTTCATCCAGAACATGTAAGAAAAAACAACAACGAAAATTTGGGGTAGAAGAAGACGAAGAAAGAAAAGGAAAAGAAGAAGGAAAAAACAAACACCGGGCAATGAGAAAAATAACAGCAGAAAATTCCATTCCATTCCATTGCATTGCTTCCATCAAAGAAGAAGATAAAAAAAAAAAAAAAAAAAAAAAAAAAAAAAAAAAAAAAAAAAAAAAAAAAAAAAAAAAAAAACCAAGCAAGCAAGCAAGCAGATCGTGAGCGTTTGTTATGTGTTGTGTGTGTGCGTGTGCGCGTGCGCGCGCGTACCGGTAGTAGTAGGTAGTAGTAGGTAGTAGGTAGGTAGTAGTAGTAGTTGTAATCTTGTCCATGCACGTATGTGGTCATCATCCTCGCTCTTACTTAACCCTAGATAGGTAGGTAGGTACCAACACCGTGGCTCTCCTCAAACATCCTCAAAATCAACATCCTCATCGACATTGCACCCTCCATCATCTAGCCCAGAAATCCGTACAACAACAAGTTACACTCCACCGGGTATTGTATGTGTGTGTGTTTTTACTTGCTCTCGACCGTCGGCACCGCCGCCGAGCTCACGCTGCGCTTGCCCCAGCCCCAGAAGCCGCCGCCGCCGCCGGTGCTGCTGCCCGGCGTCGTTGCCGCGCTGCCGCCCGACGCGCTCGTCGGCGTCTTGACCGGCACTTCCTTGCTGGCGAAGAAGCCGCCGATGCTGCTCGCCTCGCTAGCCGTGCTCGCCCGGTGCGCGCTGGGCGTCGTGCTCGCGCTCTGCGGGCTCAGCGCGCCCGCCGGCGTCGACACGCCCAGCATCTTGCGCATCGAGTCGAAGCGCACGCGCAGCTCCTCGAGCTCCTGCCGCGCCACCGCCTCGGCCGTCTTGGCGTTGACGAGCTCCAGCAGCAGCGTGTCGGCCTCGGCGTTGCCGCTGTTGGCGCCGCCGTTGCCGTTGCTGTTGCCATTGAGCGACGATGTGGCGCCCAGGACGGCGCGCGCGCTGAGGCTGCTGCTGCGCTTGGCCCACTTGGGCGTCTGCGTCGGCACGGGCGGCTCCTCCTCGGTAATGGTCGTCGTCGGAGGGTTCGGCGACGAGTTGCGGGGGTGCACCGGCGACGTCGCCTGGGCTGACGTGTTTGGCGTGGGGCTGATGCGCTGGAAGCCGAAGCCGCCGAAGACACCCGAGTTGTGAGTGTTTTTGGCACTGCGGCCCGACGCTGTACGGGACAGCTTGAACTCGCGCAAACCCTTGCCCGACGACGACGTACTGCTCATGGTGCTGTCCGACGTGTCGCTGCGCGTCAGCTTCGGCACCTCGATCGTGTCGTACTGGCCCGACGAGCTGCTCCACGTGCTGGCCTTGCGCGACTGGCGCGCCTCGGTGCGCAGGTCCGCCACGACGCGTTCCAGCCGCTGCCGCTCCGCGTACGAGTCCTGCAGCCGGTGTCGCGCCTCGTCGAGCTGCGAGCGCAGGCTGCTGCTCTCCGACTCGGCGTCGAGCAGCTGCCGCGACAAGCTCTGACTACGCGTCGACTCGAGGTGCAGCTGCTCCTTGACTCGCTCAATCGAGTCGCGCAGGTACTGCTTGGTCTCGAAGCGGCTGGCGTTGCGGTGGTGGTAGCTGCCAGGCTTGAAGCGCGTGTCGACCTCGTCGACCATGTTGAGGACGTCTTCGGGGAGGGGCATTGGGCTGTCTGCGTTTGTGGGGGTGGGGTCCTTGAGGGTCTCTGGGGTCGGCGGGGTGAGGACGGGGGTCTTGTCGGGGTTGATGGGGGCGGTGCGGCGGCGGGCTTCCTTGGATGTGGCTGGGGTCGTGGCAGCGGTTCTGCGTTCGGCCTTGACGCGGTCGATGAGGGTGCGCACGATGCGGTGGTCTTCCTTGCGAGCTTCATTGACGCTCTGCAGGTCGGCCATGGCCTCGGCATGCTTGTGCTGCATCTCGCTGAGGGCCGTGAGCAGCTCCTCAATCTGTGTGTGGAGGTCGCGGTCCTTGCTGGAGACGGCGCGCGACTCGCGCGACGGGACGGTAATCTCGGTCATGGCGGTGGCGGTGCTGTTGTGGCTGCCGGAGCTGTCGGTGCCGACGTCGACCGAGTTCAGGGTCGACGCGATGCTCTGCTTCGAAGGCGTGCGGCGCAGGAAGCTGACTGGACGGGCGGGTGCGGGCGCCGACGAGTTGTTGGGCGGACTAAGGGTGGCAGTGGTGTTGCGTTTCTCTTGGGCCGACCACATGCGGCCGAGGAAACGTGAGGCGGCACTCTGGACATCGGCGAAGAAGTTTGTTTTGGCAGACGAGTCTTCCCCTGAGGTGAAGCTCTGCTCGAGATTCTGCAGGACCTCGCGTGTTGCGACACTAGTGAAACTAACGAAATCCTTGACAAGATCGTCGGCGGAGTGGGCATTACAGCCGTAAGGGTCCCATAGGGCGCGCGACAACAACAACTGCATGACGTCTTCAAACTCGGTGAAGGCCAGGATGCGTTTCTCGTTGCGGCTCATAATCGACAGGGCAACGCGCATGAGCGTTTCCGAGGCGCCCTCGGCGAAGATGACATCGTAGATGCGGAACAGCATGGGCAGCGGGCAGGTGACGGCGAAGAAGGACAGGAACCACTGCGACAGATAGGCCGCCTCGATCTGCAGGTCGTCGAGGTGCTGGGCAAGCTTGGGCATGTGCTGGTGCAGCAGGCGCTGGAACTGGTAGATGCGCAGGTGCAGGCCCGAGAGGTCGGGCAGGAAGCACGAGCGCAAGTCGTAGTCTTCCATCAGACGCACCAGCACGCAGAAGGCCTCCTTGTCGCCCATTTGCATCAGCAGCGGGCCAACGAGGAAGCCCAGGCCCTGGCAGTAGCCGATCTTGTCGTCGTACAAGCTGAAGGCCTTGAGCACGCGGGCCAGCATCTTCTGGCCCTCGCCCTCCGGGTCGCGGAACATGTCGACGCCGGGGAAGGAGCGGCCAATGTCCTTGCCGATAAGGTTCTCGTAGGGCGAGCTCTCGGAGCTGAGCTGATCGTAGCGTTCCTCGATGGCTCGGTCGCGGGCACCGGCCATGCTCAGCCAGGTCACGCCGCGCAGGGGGCCTGGAATACCGGCGCGGATCTTGTTGGCCGTCAGGGTGGGCAGGCGCTGGGCCGTTGTCGGGTAGTCGCGCACGAGCGCTGCCCAGAACTCGAGCTCCGTCATGGGCGGCGGCGAGGGCAGTCGCGAGTAGCGCAGCTCTTCCTCACCACGCTTGGCCTCGACCAGCTTCTGCAACTGCTTCATCGACGGCGGCCTCGATTGGCTGCGCACCCGTGGCCGATTCAGCCCAGCCTTGGGGTCGTGTGCCAGCGCCGCGTTTTCCTGCTCCAGCCGTGCCAGCAGAAGCGCAGTCTTTTCGTCTGATCCCTCGTCGCGCTCGACGCTTTCTTCTTTGCGGTCCAGCTGCGCCCAGTCAACCTCATTGTTGCCGTCGGACGCCGAGCTGCTGCTGCGCGTGCGCGACTGCTCTTCCGACGCCTGCGCCTTTTCTTCCTCTTTGGATTTTTGTTCGTTTGTCGTCTCTGCGGGAGAGTCGCCGGAGCCGTTCAGCACCGCGTCCAGGCTCTGCTGCTGGTCTGGTCCCCCTATTCGGCCGCTGTCTCGTGTCTTTTGTACGGTAATCTCCGGTTTGGGGGCCGTCGTGGTGACGGTGGCGTCGGAATCATTGTCGTCGTAGGTGGTGGGCGACAGCGGCACCGTGACCATCGAGTCGGTGTTGTTGTCGTGCTTGCGCGTTATGGTGGGCGAGGGGACATCGGCCGTGGGCGAGACAGCATCGTCGACGGCCATGGTGGTTAGCGGGATGGTGGCGAGGACGATGGCGGGCTCAGCAAGCACTGCAGGAGGGATGTCATGCACGGCGCTCGCTTCCTGTGTGTGGCCGCAGGCGTTTCAAAAAGAGGGTGGGGCGGAGAGAGACCGGTCAGGGCAGGGCAGAAGCGAGGGCCGGGGCGAGGCCAAATGAAGGACGGGGGCTCAATCAATCAATGGCAGGTCGTAAGGCAGGTCGTCGTCGGCGTGGGAAAAGAGAGGGCGAACGGGTGTGTTTGGGCAGCTCGAGGCCTTCAGGAGGTGTCTGCCGGCCAACAGCAGGGATCGCCGCCGGACCGCCGCGTTTTAGGCGTGCTCCCCCACACCGTGTGATTGGTCCGGCTGCGGCCGCGCGCGCATGAGGCGTGGCGGGCGCGGTTGTTGTGGTGGTGATGATGATGATGATGATGATGATGATGCAGCAGCCGTCGTCCACTGGCTGGTTGGCTGGCTGGGCTGACTCTTCACACTTTCATTCAGCCTCATCCGGCGGCAGGGTCCACGGCACACGCGCGCGCGTCTCTCTCACCCGCTCACGTGCAAGTCGCCTCGCTTTAACCCGAATCCAAAATTTCCCCGAGTTCCCGCTGCCTGATCGCGCCCGTCGCTTCTCAGGCATCCTTCGATGCTCTCATCAACCTCCGACACGCCTATTTTCCCCTTTCGGCCGAACACCCAAGCTCCCGCGCTGACGCCATCCTCTCTCGTATCTCTCAAAGTCGCGCATCTATCTGTTCTCTCCGCTCAAAAATAGCCTTCGCGTCTGTCTCTCAAAACTCTGTTTTCCCTTCGTCGCTCATCGTCGGCGCCATCTCGGCCTTGGCTCGCATCCCTCCAATCGGGCCCATCGTGCCTTCCAACCCCAATGACATCTCCTCTTCTTTCCATCTCACCCATCAACTCCCTCCCCCAATCCTCCCTCCCAATTTCTTCGTTGCAGTCCCGTCTCACTTTCTCCAACCTCTCGTGCGTCAGCTGAACACTCACACGCGTCCAATTCTCCTATCCCCTTCATCTCGATAACGCCGTCGATCTTGCCGCACGGCATATTGTCATCCGCCCGCGCACATGCCCATGTGCTTGTCCATGCGCGTACGTGCGGCCATCTGAGCGCCTGCGATTTTCGCGGCGTGATGTGCGATGCGTGGTGCACGCAGCTCGAGTGCTTGCAAATGTTATGCGTCGTCACCGTCTCCAGCGCACCCACAGCTCCGATCATGATCTCCTACGTCTGCATGCGGGCCTGGGCCATTGGCTCTGTCTGGTTTTGTGGGGTAGAGCAGAAAGGGATGCGCTCACTTCAGCTCTAAAGGGCCCACGTCGTTTCTGCACGCAGTAAGCTCAGCTGGCATAGAAACGTGCAGATTCAGGTTCCTGTTTCTTGGTAAGACAGAGCCGGGGGGTGGTTGCACCCATGGCAAGGTAGCGGACAAAGAGCAGAGAAGTGGGCACTCCACTGTCTAAGTAAAAGATCTTAGCCAATCAAGCGAGACGCCACGGTACATAGCAGGGCCCGGCCGCTTCTCCTGACTTACTTTAGCTGTGATGGATTGCCTTGGCTGTGATGGACCTTTCGTCTGAAGTGAGGAAGAGCGAGGGAATGGAACGAGGTCGTTGTGGAGCAAGGTTTGTCTTTGCCGCAAAAAGCACAGGTATCTGCACATTGCACTGCGACTCGAAATCCCGGGCAGAGATGTCCCCGATGCGCCCGCACTCTGTATATATAACGCATGCGCCATCGCAGCAAGCACATCCATACACAGAACGACTGGTTCCGCCAACCTACCTAAGTAGTGGCGGCCTGAGCTCGCATCATGAAATCAAAACCTAGTCAATCGCCGTAGGTAGCGCACGCATGTCCAGAAAGAAGAAGCTAAGAAAGGGCAAGAACGGAGAAGTATGCCCGGGGACGGGCGTACCTACCTACCTAAGGAAGAGCGGCGCAATGCCAAACGAAGAAAGCGCGAGGTCCCTACCTGCCTCGCTCGTGCGCTCCTTCCCTACATACCTACGGTCCCATCTCCACGCCACTGGGAGCGTCGTTGTTGCCACCGCCGCGGCAGCAGCAACGCGCTATTTGGGCGTTTCTCCTCTTGCCCCAACATACTTGAGCGCTGTGTGAATCGCGAACATGAAATCCAGCACACGCGTGTGCTCGTGTGTCTTTGCTTGTGTGTTTTTGCTTGGCGCGGTGCGCGGATGGGTCTTGAGGCCTTGGGCTTGTCTCGTGAGCCCGTACGGGCCTGAAGGGAGGGGAGGGGGAGGGGGTGCTGTCTTTGTGAGATGTGGGAGTTGGGTGCTGTTGGTTTGGCGTGTCTGTGTATGTGTTCTTAGGTCATGATGGGGCGGGAGTGTTGGATGCCTGGCCTTACCTCTTAGGAGGTGTTTGCTGCGCATGGAAGACTGGTGGCTTCGGCCTTCGTATAGTATTTCTTAAGAGACGAAGCCTATCGAGGAGGAGCCGTAGGGAACTGTCATGATAAACGCGCTCGCTGTGCTGGGGCCTAGGTAGTTGGTCGTTGTCGTTGTCAAGACCAGCTGCATCACTGTAGGTTCGGTGAAGCAGGAGTAGTAGACCTTGGCGGAGCAAGCACCGCAGGAGCCAGGCCAGAAAGAGTAACAGGTTCCCTTGAAGTAGAACTCACTGGAACAGAACGCATCATCGCCAGCGAGTTGAGTCCTTCTGCCCTTATATCAGCCAGCCTCAACGACCTCAAAATCTCCACTGCAACACTTACGCTATTGCACGCACTCGTTCCCGAGCTTCGGCTTCCCAGCACATACCGGCTACATGGATGTATGGACTACAAGAGTTGTTCGTCGAGTGGCGGGCTTGCGACGCGTAGAAGGGAGAGCAAGGTAGTCCGGCGCGGGGATGAGGTTGCGGGGGTTTGGGGCTGTGAGGCCAAGGGCGGGAGGAAGAGGGAGATGGCATGGATACGTTGAAGGGGGTTAGTTGTGGCGAGCTGTGATGCGCAGGATCTGCTATAATATTCAGGAGCCGGTCCTCTCGAAGCCAGCAGAGGCTCGCAAGCGCAGGGGACACGCAAGCAACAAGCGCACGAAGCAGCAACAACAGCAAAACCAGCACTTCTTCCTCACAGTCTCAGAGCAAGCCGAGAGCAGCAACGAAAAAGGTCGCGCCAGCCCGAAACAGTGCAAATACGAGCGGCACAGTGGCAGCGACAAAGGCACGAGCAAGAAGCCCACCTTGCCGCCGCGCAGGTTCCAAAAACTAATCGGTGACGGTGCCCTCCGTAGAGGGCGTCAACAGCGATTAAGCTGCTGAAGAACAGATACTGCATTTGATCTCAGCCAAAAGGCAAGGAGAGCTGAAGAGGAGAAAGGGCGCCGGGGGAGGCGCGTTTATATACACGCGAGAGGGGGACGTACACGCGTGTGTGACGTCAAGGGAGGGTAATGAGGGGTTCTAGGCGCTTCTATGGGCGGTGGAGGGTGCGATTGCGGAGGTGGGCTTGGGGGGTTGCGTTTTGCGGCTCTCGTGTGCGAGGGTTTGCACAGTGTGTTGACGGCTTGGGAGCGAAGTCCTCTGAACTGAGACGCTGACTGTGCCTATTATCTAGATCCTACAAGCCCTTCGCAGGAGTTCCTTTTTTACATCTCTCTATCAGGTGGACATCTGCGATGAGCTTCACAGGCTCGCTTCATTGTTATGTGGCAATGTGCCTCGACGACGTCTTCCATTGTACTACGACGTCCAAGCAGAATTTCGTCCTGACTTCCACTCACTCGCTCTTCGGTATATGATAACGGCCAGAAAGGTAGCCTCGAAGACATGAAGTATGCAGTAAGCATGCTATGGTAACGGGGATTGAGCCTTGGAATCAGGGACAGCGGTCGCGGCTTTTACCATCAGTGGCAGCTCAGCTATGTCGCAGCTGGCTAAGAGGTTCGCCCACGGGACGTCGGCTCTTAAGCTCAAAGAGTGCTTGGATCGTTTGGGTCTCATGGGCGGGTGTGGGAGCGGTCCTCCATGAGCTTCTGTTGCAGGTGGGTGCGGTGGAACTGGAACATGGCACGCAAGGTAACCACGCAACGCCAGAAAGACACTGCACGAAGCATACCAAAGGTATATCATCTGAAGCATAGTTTCTACTACTATTCTCGCCCGTTGCATTCAGTGACCCTGCCCGGCCCTGTCTCGTCTTTTACCCTGCTGAAAACGCATCACTCCCCAGTTCTCACCGCGTGTTATCCTCAATGAACTTGGTCCAACGTCTTGTGCTATTTGTGAGCGTTATGTCACGAAGGACCAGTGCCGGGCTTGCTCTCAATCGAGCCGATTGCGAAAGGTCAGCCGTCACTGAGGTGTTCGCAGACAAGGACGCGGCACGCGTGTCGAGCGGGAGTGGCGCCATGGGAAGCGGCATCAATGGACAAGAAGCAAGCGGGTGCGCCGAGACGCTCATAATAGGAGCAGGGCCGATGGGAATGGGAAGGTAGGAGCGGTGGTTCCTGTTCAAAGAGAAGAAGGTAAGTCAAGGTCATTTCCAGTCTGTCAAAGTTGCAAACTAACCGGCCTAGACGGGTAAATACCTCTCCGCGCGTCTCATTCTAGCTCCCTTGTGTTACTTCGTCTTCTTCTATCCTTTTCCGTCCCTCCACATAGCAAGAACTCGAGGATTTGAGCGACGGAGCGCGTCCGCTAGTCTCACCATTCAACCATGCTGACCGTCAGTGATCGCTAATGCGGTAGCATTGCCTCCCACTACTTTATCCTCAGTAAGCTCATCTACCTCAGCGTCTCTCCGCCCAGTGACACATTAGAACGGGGCAGAGTGGTCGAGCTTCGCATGCTGTGCGCTGTATACTGGGTGCTCGTGGACAGCTGGCCCTACAGAGCAATTTCTGTCTCAATGCTCTGCCAGCCTCATTGCCACCGCTCGGCGGTAGGTCCTTCGAAAAGCGTGCGATGCAATCATGTGTTCTGTTCGCGTGCCCTGAGGAGTTTCTGGGTCGCGCCCCTGTCGCTCGCGGCCGTGGAGGGCCTTGTCCGGGGTCTGGGCTGCTTTGCGCTTGCTGTTCTAGCTGAAATGAGCCTGTACGTGTCGTACGTGTAGGTAGGTACACTTGGTTGGTGAGTTTGGTTTCTTGGTCGAAGGAGGAGGAGGTGCTGGGTGTGAGGAGCTGGAGACGAGATAGTCGCTCGGTGTGAGAAGAATCGTTTGCCTGGGCTCGCGCGTGTCTTGAAGCTAGGGTATCAAAGCAAGGTATTGGGGAGAAGGATGCAGTGATAACTTGGGCTTTGCGTGCCTGTTTGGTGTCTAGCGCATCGAGGAGAGAGCAGAAGGAAGGTAGGCTTGTTGGTGCGGCAGTGGGTGCTGTTTGCTTTACCGGTCAGTTCAAAATTACTCAAGGAGGAAAGAGTGGGAGACTTTGGAATCCTTACATTCTGTTGCATCGTAGACGTATTGCTGAAGCTTCACAGTGTGTGGTGTAGGCCGTTCCAGAGCGCCGTCGGATTCGAACTTCAAGGAGACCTGTTGAACCTGTGGTGTGATGAGTGCGGAGGGCTACCAGTGCTGGTCTCAATGATGTGGTACGACAATTGCACGTCGACTGGGAGAAGGAGATAGCTGTTGAGTGCAATGGGTAGACAGGTTCGCGTGCGGCTGGGGCCGGGAGGTCTCGCTGGTCGCTGGCGGAGGTTGCTTGTGGGGGCTTGTTCCAATAGTAAATCGATTGAGATGGTGGCAGGGTGGACCCAAAGGCTTGAAGCGTGCTGCAGAGCTTTGCAGTAGCCGAAAGACTGTAATCGTTGCGCGCGGTGCTGCGGGGGATGGGCTGACGTCGAGGTGTGTTGAAGTGTTTGCCGTCAGAAGCTGGCGCATCTGGCACATTGTCGCCGGGGGTTAGCCAATTGCCTATTCAATCATGGCGCTTCTTGGGCACATACATGCCTTTCCGTGCACCTCCATCGCTGTCGGGAAAGAAGATGAGGGGACAACACGTAGGGAAGAAGGCTGCTGGACTTGATCTGAGAGAAGCCCCTGGTTCTGCTGTTGCACCGCGCAATGTATACACGTCTTCCTTCTCAGTCTGGGGAATGGGGTGCCGTCTGTGGTGCATAAGCTGGTTGTTTGATGCAACCGGGGCAGCCGACTTGGAGCCAGAGGCCTCGGGATGTTTGGGGTGGCAGCCGGCTGCGAGCCTGCGACGCACCTACAACTACCCACCCCGCAGCTCGCAGAGACCAATTCAACATTGTCGCTACTTTCATAGCTACCAAACTTCCCTTCGCTTTGCATTTTCGATCTCCTAAAGCTTTGGGAAACTTTTCTCACTCACTCCAGCCTCCTGCATCCCAGCTCCGACACTGCATTGCTTTCGGCTCCTCAGCACTCCCATGCCAACGCCAAACATGAAACATTTCCGAACGTATAGCACGATAGCGACAGAGCAGAGCGGGTACGTAATAGTTGACAGTCAGTCGCCAACTGGCATGATTCCAGCTCACAAGAAACCCGAAACAGCCCCTGCGCCCACGCAGTGCCAACGGCGATGCCCTTCGATCTTACAAATTCGTCCATATTATTCGCATCCAGCAGGCGCTTGATCGCATCACCTACTCAAGATACCTGATCCCTCCCCATTCCAACTTAACGTCGCTCCGCTCGAAATAAAATAGTCATCCTGCTGGTGTCGACCGTGAAACTACGAAGCATCGCTTCTGAACAAACAAATCTCGAGAGGCTAGGCGCTTTCATGTCCGGTGATTTCCTTCCTGTCGACTATGCGCTGGCTAGATACCAGTCTCAAAGCTGAGGAGCTGGAAACAAATGGCTCAAAGACGTCGAATTGCTGGCTTTTTTGAGACAAAGATCCTGTGTTTTAAAGGACAATGGCACTGTGTTCCTGTTCCCCGGCCTTGGTCTTTGTTCATGCGACTTACTACCTTCTTGTTCTTTCTATGGAAAGAACTCTTGTTTAGACAAACACGCCTTCAACCATTTGAATGTTCCAGCCAGTGCCACAGGCAATCTTGCGCCTTGATTCGTGACTTCAAGAAGGCAGTAGTTTGTCGCTATTTGTTTGCTTAGCTGTCAAACCTGCTTGGCTTACTTGCACCTTTGCCCAAATATAAGAGCTTTGCATCCCGCTGCTCCTGAGCCCCTCTTTCTCATACGTTCGTTGGTGTTTGGAAATTAGGGTCCCCAGCTCTGATTGGGCCCGTTGTCATTTTGTTTGAATCGAGCCGCTAAGTATCTCTCTTCCCCATTCTGCCGACCGATTAATTGTGGGATTAGTTCCATGATGCTACGGCCTCGATGGTGGGCAGCTGTCGAGGTCTGCGGTATATCCGCAGTTTGTTTAAGCTGCGGTGCGTCTCTTTATGAGATACACTGGTGCAGAGCTATAACTTCCTTTGTGATCTTGAAATTGCTCTCGGTCATGAAGCGTGGCCGATTCATCGGCCCCTGCCTATGAAGTTGTGTCCATTAATGCGATTGCCGGATTTTTCTGGTCTACCCCTCAGTGGTAGCACCGGTTCCGGCTTTTGCTACATGCATCTACAGACTTGTTAACCTTGTGAATACTTAGATACTTAATTCCGATCAAAAGCATCTCCTAATTTAAATCTTCGTGAATGACATATCTGTAGTATGCTAAGAAATGGGAGGGTTTAACAGTTTTCGGTGAGCATAGGTCATGGTGTGCGAATAGTTTTTACCTTCGTCCTAAAAGCACCTGAAAGATGTGTGAAAGTCGATTCAAATTGCAAGTTTGAGCGCCACACTACGGCAGGGGAAGTGTGTGTGTGGTGGGGCAGCTACCTACCGACGCGACTGTCCTTTTTGCCCTAGCCACCTCCTCCTTCACCCTTTTCTTCCTCACCCATACCCACACCTCACTAGCCACAAGTCAAGATTTCGATTCGGCCAGGGGAAACCTTCTTGACCTTGCCAACGGGTTATTCCGTTGCCCATACGGCGATCTTTTCTTCCTCTCAACCTTGCTTCCTTGCCGTCACGTCAACATTGACAACGCTCTTCGGCAAAGCAACGCGACACTGGAACTCTGGACACGAGACCACCGATTTCGAGGTAACGTACATGTCCCTTAACACTTAGCCGTGGTTCACAGTCGTTTCAAACTCAACGCCATTATAAAGCTGTCACTGATCCCACTGACTACAACCTTGCAGCGTCAGACCTTACAGAATGCCTCCACCCTCCAACAAGGTGCCGGCACCATCTGGCAGCCCCGAGGTACTCGATGACTTTCAAAAGACCCTCGCTGCAGCGGAGGCTCTCATTATGTTGAAGAATCAGCCCGTCATCTTCAACAAAGCTGCCAAAACTGGAAACACCAACAAGCAATCACCAGGTAAAGATCAAGACAAGCAGACAGTTGGTGAAGACCCAGAAGTCCTTGAAGCTGCAGCTATCCTCATGAACATGGCGACTGCCGATAGTGTGCATCTCGAGAACAACTCCGGTGAAATGGATTCGGCGACCGACTCTGAGGTTGACAAGCTTCCGAAGGCCAAGCCCTCGCTCATTGTCCAGCCTCCGACGGCTAAGCGTTCGCTCATTGTCCGGCTTCCTGTCCTCCACAAGTGCGAGAGGTTCGTTAGAGGTCGTTACATCACTCTCGATGATGGTACTCAATTTGACCAAGAGTCCCGTCTTCCCATTCGTGGCTGGGACCCTCGCCGAGGCAGAGTGTTCACTTGGACACGCGAACCGCCTGCTGACTGGAACAGTCCCAAAGACGTTGAGGCGCTGAACAAGTGGTACAACCAGCTCTACAGGCGCGCCTACTTCCACAAGGTGCGCCCGGACAACCAGGGGTTAGGGTGGTCTGAAGACGAAAAGCAATGGATCCGCGAAGCGCTCGAAGCCAACCCTCAAGTCGACCGCAAGGAGTTGCACAGGAGCTTCAACAAGCACTTCAACGGCCGCAAGGTGACAGACAACGTCAATACGGGGAATAGAAAGGATAACATCCAGACCACCACGAGGACCCGTATCTGTACCTTTCGCACTTACATTCAGTTCTCCAACGCCATTGGCAACCATAGCCTCAATTCACATGCCGAAAGCGATCCTGAGAGCGATGAGATCCAAGACTTAAGTGCTGCTGAAACAGATGACGAGGGTGACGACCAGAGCTACGAACCTGAAACTCCCTCTGCGAAGCGCCCTCGCCTCCTTGACTCCCGCTAAATGGCTATCTCGATGCCTCCAGCTTACGACCGCGACGCATGGAAATCATAGTATCGACATTACACGGTCGACAGCTAATATGTTACGAAAAAGCTTACTGAAGTACATTTTTATCTTGTTAGTGCTTCAGTGGTTTGTGTTGGAAGTCAGGGACATAAAGATACGCGAAAATTGAAACGGATGGACAGCCCCTCGGATCTCTTGGGAGTTTTCAGGGCTATCGACATCTACCATGGCGCCATTTTGTGTGGCACGCAACGTTTCGGAACTCCTTTTCGATGGACTGAAAACAACTTGCTACCTTCTGTTTTCTCGAGAGGATTTGGAGATGGCCCCTATGCCCTTGGGCAGCTTACCCGATTGAATTTCATTGTCTCGCTTCGATACTGGTGCATAGATAGTCCTAAATGAAAATGAATGTGCCAGCTAATGACTTGAGAGCTGTTGTGCTGACTTGACATCTCGGTTGCCCACTGCCTGCAACATGACTTTCAAACAACACGCACGCCGCCCTACTTAACCCACCTCCCAGTCTTGCACGCGACACCATAATGGTTTCCCGCAGCCTACTTGTCCACGCCAATGAGCCGGTATCAAGCTCCGCTCACGGTACTTTAACTATCATCCACTCATCTCCCATTTAAGCCTAGCGCGCATGCGGTCCTCGACATTGGTTTCGCTTCATACCCATTGGACCTTCTCCCGCTTCCGCACCGTCGCGTCTCCGCGAGTACGGAGGCAAACAATGGCCAAGCAATGTCCCTCCCAATGCAGCTATGTCGGAACTCGCTGACTTTTGTTTTCCTTTCAGGGTTCAGGGGGCTCAAGGCCGCCCAATCCACCCTTAGAGGAAGACTCGATGTTCTCACCCACTGCAGACAAAGTAATACCTCCGAAGGGCTTGCAACGTCTCAAGCTACGTCGATTCCACCGCCTGGAATACCTCTTATGGCATACGATACCTGCATTTCCTCGACACAGCTCCTGCCGTGGGCCTTGGGTTCAGGACTTGACGCGACCAACACCACCGTAGCCGCCACCAGTACGGTCGCATGGGCAGGAAGCTGCTTTGACGACATGTCTCCTTCGGTTTAACGTCGATCTCACGCATACGCTTTCAGAAGCGCACTAGTAGTGCGTCACTGTTCGAACCCTCCCAGCTTCCTTCGCTTCGACACACCTTCTCGGGATCACATCTCGCTCAGACAAGCCATTCGACCGGCTGTGCATCTCGCAATAGCACTGCAGGCCTCGGGAAGCTCTTTGTGCAATCAAAGGGCCCTGTGAAGCCGGCTGAACTTGTTACATCTTCTCTGGAGGCATCATCCCGTCCAGCCCCATCGCAGCTGCAAGGTGCCTCCCTACCCAGCCAGACACCCACGGTCGCAAGGAACTCGAAGTCAGCGGTGATAGAATGGTATTAAGTCTTGCAACGTCCTAGTCTTGCATCCTTTGCTTGCTAACGCCGTGCCCTGATGTCCTAGATGCGCTTAACTTGCCGCCAGTGCCGTCACTGCCATGCAACTACCTTGTTTCTGAACAATGCCCGGACAACGTCTTCCCACCGTCCTCGGGACGAACGAATCCCTCGCCACAGACGCAAGCATGCTGATCTTGCGGGCCAGATCAGAGCACGGAGTTGAACAGCGTTTCTCCAAGCCACTGCCTCCCCATATCTCGGCTGGAAGCCGGAAAGAAGGCCGATCAGGGCTGAAGCAGGATCGGAACCAGCTAAGCAAAGAAGCAGGTAGACCGTAACAGTGCAGAAGGCTTGCCATGCGACAAGCTCAGTAGGCAATGACAACTGAACCTGTTCACGGGGCGTGCATCCTATCCAGTCCTCCTTCCCTTTGAGTGAAACGCCTGTGACCTGTCCCTGTCTGCATTGCAAAATACATCGATCCACCCAGATCTAGCCCGCGCATTATCGAGTACATCGGCCCTCTCCCAGTCAACTCAGGCGAAAGCTTCTCTCCAGCGTCCTTCCAGACCATGTCGCTCCCTCAAGCCCATCGCGCTATTCGTAGTCCATGAAAGAGGGCCAGATAACGCTCGTGTCCGGCTCGTCACGGTCCTCATCCTCGTAGTCCATGTACGGCTCTTCTATGCCCTCATCCTCAGGCTTGTCCATGGCTTCATCCTCATCCTCGTATCCCATGTCCGGCTCCTCCATGCCATCATCCTCGTAGTCCAAGAACGAGGGCCAGATACCGCTATCCTTCGGCTCGTCCCGGTCCTCATGCTCTTCCTCATCCCGGTCGACAGGCGTGCGGAGGTGGTCGTATTTGGCCAGAAGTGCGCGCACTCTCTGCTCGAATCGGAACCTGTCCCTGGCCGCACGCCAACGCTCCATTGCGGCTCGCCTTTTCTGCGCGGGTGCGAAGACGGCTTCAACTTGCACACACCTCCTTTGGCGCCTCCTGCTCTGCTCAACGAGAATGTCGTAGAGGCTACTATCCTCGTCGATTGGTATGGGGTCTTCGCACCACTCGGTGCCTTCGTCAACGGTGCAAGTCCAGCCCCTTCCAACACTTTTTGAGCTGCTCAAAGAGCCTTCTATCTCATACTCTTCCGCGCTGTCCGAAAAGCCTAGAGACTCAGGGTCCATGGCATCTGCTTCGGCTCTGAGAGCTAAGCCCAACTCAATAGCAGCGAGGCGATCGGCTAATACATTTCCTCGCACGCCAGCATGGCCGGGAACCCATTGCAACCGAAGAGATACGCCCATATCTGCGAGCATATGAGAACCCCAGATGGTGCGCTGTAACTGGATTACGGTTCGGTCAGTTGCCATGAAGGGTTCATTAAGCTGGCTTTTTCTGAAGTTTTCGAGCCAAGATCGACAGTCATTATAAATCACGACTTTTCGAATGGCGTGGGGAGTGCCTTCAGAGGCAATGGCGCGCTCAACTGAACCCTTTAGACCAACGTTGATGGCTACGGCTTCTGCTTCGGTAGAGTTCTCCATCTTCACCGATGCGTAACTGTCCGATGAATAACTCCCGCTATTGCTACCGCTTCCGTAGTACTCAAAGATGGCAGATCCTGCCCCACCAGTACACTGCTGGTCAAAGGGCGCGGAAGCTTTCCGTCTTTTGGGTTTGTAAGACCCATCAGCCCACACGACAAGGGTGCCGGGCTCATGCCCATGTCGCTCTTGGTTGCGTGCGGACCTAAGTGCCTTTTGACGGCCTTCCGTCGAAACATCGCCTATAAACTTTCTGTACAAGATATATGTGGGCTTTTGTTGGGGCATGTTTGTAAGACTTGGTTGTGATTGTGGACTCTACGGAGACAGCTAATCAGCTATTTATGTGGTTTACTCTGCTTGTTTGCAAACAATGTACAATGTCGAGCATTGTAAGATTGCAGAGGACGTACAAGGGGGCAGAAAAGGAGACTGTTTCAAAGCCTTTTGCTGGCCGAAACAGATGAGATTGCGATGCAAGAGAAGCGTGGGCGTGGTGACGGCGATAGATCCTCAGCGAGCTGCTCAGGTGAAAGCGCACGGATGGTTGGTACGTGCGCTGGGGGAGCAAAGGGCGCTCACAGGCTAGCGGGGGGGCATCTCCGTCCCCCTCCCCCCCCAACTAACACAACAGACAGACAGCGCAACCCGACCACCACCACGGCAACACCAGACAACCAGTGCAGCGTCCGCACAGATTCCATTACATTTCCGTCTCTTCCTGCTTGGATGCGACTTCAACAGAGCACTGTCTGTATCAAAAGCTGACGGCCTCAAGCAACTGACGCCTTCTCCAGCGCCGCTAGAAGCTCAACCTCAGGCGACAGCTGGGCTTGCAACTTGCGAGCTTGCCAAGGCCACAGATCTCTTGTGTCTTCATGACTGACAGCATGGCAAGCTTCATCCGGATGAAAGGAAGACGTGGTCGTCCTGGTTCGCCTCCGGAAACCTTGTTACGACTTTTAATTCATCTAAATGACCAAGTTTGACGAACATTCCGGCTCTGGGTGGTCGTTGCCGACCTCCCTGAGCCAATCCGAAGGCCTCACTGCTGCTATCGAGTTCAACGATGCGCACGCAGGTGCCTTCACTGCCGTTAGAGTCAACAGCTTATGGAAGCTCTCGCTGCCATCAAAGCCAACTACAAGCGGGTGCCACCGCTGTCGCCAATGTCAACCACAAACAGGCGCTGTCGCTGCCGTCGAAGTTGACCAGTACGCAGCTTCTCAAGGCGGTCCGTTTGCTGACCCATTACCGAGAAGCACACCGGCAAGCTCTATCACAAGGTGAGCATGCGCATTAAACTCATCCATCTGTCTGCTTTCTTTGAATGCCGGGTCCGTCCACTGACAATCGCACTTACCTTCAGGATCCTTGCATCTCACTGACGTGCCGCGGCTCTCTTCCCGTCATGCCTGGTCTACCCTGATGAGCTTTGACAAGCCTACTTCCTGGTAAGTAGCAAGCTCATCCCTTCGGCGGGCAGCGCTCTCACAGCTGAAAAGCTGAACTCTCGCGTACGGTCAGGGTTGCTTTCCGCAAGAGCTTAGTAGCACCCTCAACCCAGTCAACAAGAAGCCGCAATACGTTGATGTTGACGCTATGTAGCTCTTGCAATGGTTACGGCAAGCCCAGTGACTTTTCGCATCAAGGGAAGCGAATTTCGAATGACGTGGTTCGTTCGAAGTGCGCCAATATCGGATCCGGAAAGAACCTCGAGCTGACACATTGAACAAGCCGCGCTCAGCATTCTGCAATGCTCCAGAGGACTGTCCTTAGAAAGGAATAAACGAAGAACGGACCTTCCTTGACGCCTCTTTCAAACATCGACAATTTGGAGTTGTTCTTGCCCCCGGAACCTCATGCGCATACTGGGCAACTCCAGTAGATGAAAGACGAAGAAGGAAATGGCAAAGAAAAGAAAGAGAATCGAGCTTCAGCAAAGCCTCTTCCGGTTTCCATTGATAGGTAGAGAGGTCACCACGGATCGCCATAAACAACACCCTTGTCTCATTGTCTTCCGACTTCACAGCTCTTGAGACCTTGTCCATTGGGTATCCGAAACGCGAGGAGGTAGTCCCAGAGCTTTCTCATCTTTGACGGCGGTTCAATTTCAAGAGGACAAAAGTATGATGCCATTTTTCGCATCAACGAATGATTGCCGGAGTTATCGGCGTGGTAATTTCTCTCCTATCACAAGCCGAGATGCGACAGAAAGAAGTTTTGAGTGAGCACTGGCGTCTGGGACGAATCAGAAGAGAGAGATGGAAACTTCTGGGCGGGTCTTTCGACAAACAACCACCGCTGTGGACCAAGCCGGCATCCAGAACGGGACTGAGGAAAGAGAGCTTGTCACGCGGTCGCGACGTCGCGACTGATGACACGGGAGGACGAGGTACGTCGATAACGAACCAGCCGTTGTGGTCGCAGTTGACATTCAGAATAGGAGGAAGAAAGAGAAATTTCGCCGCAGTGCCAGAAAAAGTCGGAAGAAAGAGATACCGTGGCAGCATCCTGGAACACTTGCGGATGTCAACATGGTCGCATGTCGCCCCACGAACGATCTTGCTTTATGACGGGCGACAACGTCCGTCAAAGGCTTTGTTAGATGCGAGACTGGCAAACAAATTCATGCGCAAACATGACCTGCATAGGTCGGCGGACGTGCAAAGCGAACCCAAGAGCGAGTCAAGAGAAAAGGTAGGTCAAGCAGCGGAGGCGCAAGCACGGACGGCAGACGGAGCGCAGTCTCTCACTTCACCCGCTGCGTATTCACCCCTAACACGCCCCCGGTCACCTGACCCACACCATAAAGCCATCGCTCTCTTGTCTCCCCATCCAAAATCCTCACAGCTCCTTCTGACGATTGTGCGCAGACTCTCGATCGCTCGCCACAACACATACATCTTTCTTTTCATCCCTCCACGCGCCGCGATCACCCACCATGCCCGCGCAACCCAGCGCCATCACCGGCCCTCCTGCTGGAGGCGTTGGCCAGCCTGGAGCTGGCTCCAACGACGACTACCCCGAGGACCGCCCTGACCTTCCCATGTCAAACCAGATCTTCCAGGGCACCCACGAGCCCACGCTCCCGGGCACCAGGTGTATCTGCGGACAGCCGAAGGGCGGCGTCCGCCAGCCTGCTGATTGGCCCGGTGAGTGGGTCGGACCGCATCCGCGCTTCAACAGCGTCGGTGGTAAGTCAAGCCTCCATCGCTTGCCTATGATGATCTTGCTAATACGTCCTTCTCTAGGCTACGTCGTGAGCCACCCGAAGGCCAACAATCGCTACGCCTACGAAAACCAGTCGGCTAGAACTCGCACTGACTTCGACGATCGCATCCAAGCTGCTATGCCCATCCCGATTCCGTACAAGGTCGTGTACAACGCGGGCCCCAACCAATCCGGCCGTATGGCGGTCCCGGTCAACATCACGCCGGCTGAGCTGGCTGCCAGCACTCACCGCCCGTTGAGCCGGGAGGTCACCGTCCCGAAGTGCGCTCACTTCCCGCTCACGGGAAAGTCCTGGATGACGTTCAGCTTCTCGGCCGTCGGCCGTTACATGAAGCTTGAGGATGGCAGGACGATAGATCAAGCCGAACGCCTTATGCTGATCGAAGACAGCCTGGTCAACAGTGAAGAGCGTCGGATGACCATTCATACCCCCCCTTCAGACTGGACCAACCAGGCCCAGATTACGGTTTTGAACAAGTGGCGGACCCAATTCCGCATCCGCAAGCGTCTCGAGAGCATCCGTCCGGATCGTCCGCACTGGTCCCCGGACGAGAAGACGTTCCTGGTCAATGAGATGGCGAAGATGCTGGATACGGTTCCGGCTCAAATGATCGACAGTACCAGGTTCAACATTGGACAGCTCGTCGACCTTGTCAACCGCAACTTCCACACTTTGCGCAATTCCCACGGCGTTGAGTGTTTTATCAACCGCCACGGCTTGAAGAAGACTGCTCGCGACATGGCGAGGGCTAAGAGGGCCAGGGAGGCTGCTCGCTTGAGTGGCACCAACTCTTCCACCTGGGAGCTCTGAGCTGTTGACCTTCTCGTCTCCGCTATGGCTTTTCTGGAGTTCTGAGCTATCCACCGGCTGTCTCCGCTACAACTCTTTCTAGGAGCTCTGAGCTATCGACCTTCTCCGCCGCGAATCTTTCTGGGAGCTCTAAGCGATCGATCTTCTTGTCTCCATGACGCTCTTCATTGCAACGGACTTCGATCTCGTTGTTTCTCTGGCTTTCATCGCAAATCTTCTTCTCCGACCACAGTGTCCGCGACCGAAGACTTTTCCGACATCCTGGCGCAGCGCGCCCGGCCAAGTGCTTGGCTCTTTTCTCCACTGATCGGATCTTTCGTCCAAGCTGCTTGGTTTTCTTCACTGTTTGGATATTCTCTCCAAGCTGCTTGCTGTTCTTCTTGATTCCTGGCTCTTCTCTTCAAGTTCTCTGGATTTCTTCTTCTTGTTGCTTAACACTTTCTTCTTGCTGCTTGGCTTTTCTCTTCCAGCTGCCCGACTTTTGTCCTCAAGCTGTTTGCCACGACAGCTTACGTGGAAGCAAAGCCATTCCCGACAACCACGCGCAGCGCGCCCGGGCTTTTGCTTTGCTCTTTGCTCCACGAGCTTGCTGACGATGCATTTGCTTTTTCCTGCACAGCAGCCACCATGTACCTAATAGCTTTCTTGCTCATGCCTGCTATGGCTAATGAACCTTGCTTTGTTGTTCCGATGCGCGATCGTGGTGATGCGTCGACGTTGGGTTTGGAACGGGCCCATGCGCCCCTGGCCGTTGCCGCTTGCATGGGGGTGGTGCGGGGCCCGCTACCTGAGTTTAACATGACTTCTCCTGCTTCTTCCATCACAGAATCCGTCGTCCTTCGCCTCTATTCCTTGCTCTGTTGTGTTTATCGGGCAGAAATGGGCCTAGTATTCAGGGATCTATTACTCCTTGCGGCATACCCGTGCAACTGCACAGCATTCTGGCATAGCATCAGTGCAGAATGATCTGCAGACATGAATCACGCAGCATGTCTCGAGACTAAGTCTACTTTGTAATAAAGAAGCGATTAAATCCGAGCAATAAGATAGATCAAGCTGATGCCGCGAAGAATTTCATAGTTCTGATGATTCCTGACCCTGCCCGATGTTTATTTTCCCTATCGTGCGCCCGCACCTAAAGAACCATCGGAAAAGATTATGATGCAGCATCAGAGATGGCATTGCATACTGGTTTTGCAATCGCGAAGGTTTCCTTGCCTATAGCCTGGAATCCTGACGCTATCTACGTGAGCTGACGATATACCGCAGCATGGCGTTTTCCACATCGGCTTTGCTTAGGATTCATCAAGGAAATGCACGAAGGCGGTTCAGCCAGTCAGGTGTTTTATTCGAGAGAGTGAGAGGAGAACGAACTGGCTGGGCGGCCTATGTGAAAGTAAGACGTTTCCCAAGTCACAGTTTCTCTACAAAGGCTCACCTCTCTTCAAGGATCCGGGGCCGTGCGAAGACTGTTTGTCCGTGTGTATAAAGGCAGCGGATAACTCCATAGCACTACCTTATCGTAAGTGAGACAAGCAGTAGAGACTTCATTGTTGGCCCATGCCTGTTTGGGTAAGGGTTTCAGTAAGTAACAAACACGTGCAAGCGCGCCTTAAGTGCGTTCGCTCGGCCACGCCTTTTCCTTCCGACCACCTCCCACTTCTGCTCCTCCCCTCCAACAGAATCACAGCAGCCATGGAACGCAAAAAGGTAGACCGCTATCCGGAGAGATCAGTCGGGCTGAAGTCAATCGCCACCGGCTACCTCGAACACTACGCCGCCTCGCACACGATCAGCGAGCTCGAAGCCATCCTGAAGAACGTCAACGCCAAGCTCCACGGCAACCGCAAGGCATGGCGCAAGGCCTGCATCAACCTATCCCACGCCGAGTACTCGTCTCGCAAGCGCCTCGAGTACGTCGATCGCATCTTCTCCATGGAGGTTGCGGCGAAGAAGGCAAAGGCAAAGAACAAGGCCGTGCGCAAGGTGACCCTCTCTTTGCCCCAGACTATCGTTCAGTTGCCTTCAATGACACAGACCGCCGTAGCTGCCAAGGCCGCCGTTGGCGCCAGAACCTCGCGGAGCGTCAGACCTCGCGCGACCGAGGCCGCCGTCACGGTGCTTGACCTCACCGGCAGCGATCCCGCTTCTCCCAGCGCCTCATTCGAGCAGCAGCGACTTCCAGATCCGTCTTCTTCAGACTCCTCGCTGTCATCGGTCCCGAGCAGTCCGTCTTCATCTGAGGATGAGAGCCCCTCTGACCCTGACACTCCTCCTCCTCCACCACCTCCACCGCCGCCGCAGCCCACCGTCAACGTCACTGTCACTGTCCAGCCGCCTACTCCTCCCCCTCAAGCGCCCGTTATCCGATTCACTGCTCAAGCTCCCGCCCTACACCCAGCGCAGCTGCAATCGCCCTACGTCACCTTCTCGGTTCACGCGCCCACTCTACCTCCAGCACAGCTGCAACCGCGTCCCGCCGCCTTCCCGATCTTAGCGTCCGCCCTACACCCAGCGAAATCACAACCGCCCACCACCACCTTCCCAACCCAAGCACCCACCTTCCCCCCCGCACAACCGCACCCCCAACCATCCACGACCCCCTCCCAAAAAGCGGCCAACGCCTACCTCGCCCCCGAGCGCCAATGGCTCGTCAACTACTACACGCAGCGCGGCGGCGGCCCCCACGTCGACATGAAGCAACTCGCGCAGCAGTTCAACGCGCGCTTCGCCGGCACCACCATCGTCGACGGCGGCAAGGTCTTCGCTGCCCGCCCCACCAGGACCTGGGTCTCCCTCAACGCCGAGTGCGCCAATTCGCGCGCGATTAGGGAGGCCCGCGGCTTGCCGCCGAGGGAGCATGGCGGGTGGGGTAAGGAGAAGTCGGCCGCGGATAAGGCGCCTGCGAAGCGGCCCCGTGAGGAGTGATGCGCATCGTTGGGAGCGCGTCGTGGTGGTGCGTATTAGGAGGTCTTCGTGGTGGTGGATGCTATAGACGCGTAATGTCGGTGTCTAGTGTAGATATACATCAATGAACGCTTCTCATACATCCATATGAAATATCCTACACGTCACGGAGTAAACGAAGCCTGCACCACACAGCCCCCGTCCTACACACACGCCCTCTACCCCTACAAACACACGAAGCGCCCCCGCCTTCGCTATCTCTTCGCCCACGCATCCAGCCACACACCCACGTGTCCGCTCACTCCTCCCTACACCCGTGTATACGATCCACCCTCCAGACACGCCGCTGCTAACGCTCTTTAGGGCCATTGGAAACAGTCCGTGCCTCTCGGTGAAGCTGCGCTCGAGCAGGGCATAGCGTGTCCTTGCCCACACGAGGGCGGGACGACTGAGGAACTGAAAGGGATGTTGGGGATTGTGAGCGAATGGGCGGGTGTGTACGTGGCGAGGTGCTTGGGGGGATAGACAAGGCGACTACACGATACTGCTGGAAACAATTCGTGCCCCTCTCTGGAATAGCTCTCGAGCTAGGTACGGCGTATCCCTGCCCTTACAAGCACAAGATATCTAACTCGCCGAAAGCGCAGCCGTAACACGGCGCGAACGAGCGGATACGTCCTCAGCAAGCCACCTAGAGGTCCAGGCAAGTCTAGCTTACACCAGCTTCTGAAGCGTTCACTCAGTGTTGCGATACAGGCTCATCACACGAAGGTGAGAGGTACTGGATGCGTAAATATCATTCATCATCAAGTCGCCATCCTCTCTATGGGCACGGGTATATACAACTATACTACAACAAGCACACCACCTCCCTATATACACACCCCCGCCCTACTCCTCCTCAGACTCCTCGCCCCCCTCTGCCTCCTCACTCTCTGACCCCTCTAACCCCCCCTACCTCCCTTACTCTCCCTGTTGTATTGTATGGTTGAAACCGTGCGAGTGAAGAGAGAACGCGGCTTGATTCTTGAATGAGTGACTGGTAGTGAGCTTTATATATATAAAGAGGCATAGTAGTCATATGCTCGCTTGTAGAAAGTAATAGGGGAGTAGCAGGGTGTTGAAACAACGAAAAAGCAATGTGAATATAGAGAATAATGCGAGATAGGAGATGGTGTGATACAAAGAAATATGGCCTGATAGTCCAACACTCCCCCTCCTCATCGCCATCATCGCTATCTTCGTCCACGCACCGCCGATTGCCCTCGCCACTCTCACCCTCGCTGCCGCTCCCCGTTAATGCCTCTTCGGCCGTGCGCTTGTGGCCTGCTGCGGTGGGGACGGGGGTGGCGGCGGCGGCGGTAGTGGTAGTAGTAGTAGCAGCAGCAGCAGCAGCAGCACCCCGCGAGAAGAGGCGGTACGGCAGGCGCAGAACCGGCAAGGCAGGGACGGCGGGGACGACAGGCGCGACGCGCCGCGGTGTCTGGGCCGGAGCCGGGGGGACGGAAGCAGTGACGGCAGCGGCGGCGGTGAGGCGCTGGGCGTGCAGTGCGGCGACGCGCGACGGCGGCACGGAAATCCGCACGCGCCGCATTGCCGGGTTGCTGACGGAGGGGCTGGGCAGCGCGGGCGCGGTCTCGATGCGCGCAGGGTCGGACGGGGCGGACAGCGCTGCGAGGAGGGAGGGCGGCGGAGGCGGGCGCGCGTTCAGGCGCAGGACTGCGGTTTCGATGTCCTGGCTCAGCAGGTCCGCTGGGTTTTGGCGGCGGTGACGGCGGTGCACTCTCTGGGCTTCGCGCGCGCGCGCCGCCTCGTCGAGCCGTTCCATCGCCTTCAAGAAGGCCCCCGGCGTGCCCTCGGCGTAGGATATGAGGAGTTTTAGGTGCCGGAACTTGATCTGATCGAAGAGACCTTGGCCTCTGGTCTTTTCTAGCTCGTCAAATGTCTCTTTGAGGGTGCAGCCCCAGCTCGCCTTGATGCGGTCCTCGATGTTGCCGCGATCGCGGAGAGGCTGTCCGCCGGACATGATTGAGATGATGGTGATGGCGGCGTGTGTGTGTGGTTGAATGGATCTGTGTGTGTGGGCGCGCGCGTTCGTGAGAGGATGGATGAGTTGTTGCGCGAAGAAGTGAAGAAGAGGGAGAAAGAGTGAAGAAGATGTGCGGGCGTTAGTGCTATCTCCGTTGTGGCATTGTGGTGTTGGTGATTGCCTGACGTCCCTCACTCTAGAGTACGCAGTAAAAACATTGGTATATAAGGCCGGGATGCAATTCATTCTGCCAGTGCAGCCGTTCAGCGTAGTGCCTCCCGTTCTTGCTGGTTTACTGGTTTACTGGTCTACTGGTTTGAGCCGAAGGGGTGACGCACCCCGTGAGCGTATTACACCTTAACCGCCTGCCTACTCTTTTTGGAAATTTGTTCGCAAGTTCGATTCCTGGTTCGGTCAATTCTTTTTTGTTACTTTTCCACAGCTACCTATTCTCATGCGCCGTGTACTTTTGAACTGTTATCTTCGCAACCACAGCTCTTCAATAATCTCTTGCCAACGATGCGGTCTGATACAAAAGAGCTTTCGGCTACTGGTTTTGGTCAACATCGACGTCAGTGCTACTTTTTACGTTACCAAACGGCCCGCGCTTCGCTTTCACCGCCCAAGCCTCGATCAAGACAACAATACAGCGCCCCTCGGGCTGCCGCCCCTACGAACGGTTACTTTACCGGTCAATTTGCCAGATCACGGCGGAGGGAGTGAGTTTACCAGAAACATATATGCCTCATGCCTCATGCCTCAGCTCTCAACCTCTCAAGCACCTCATCCGTGTCAAGCACGTCGCCAAACGCGAGCCTGAACGCCAGCAACCCTGCTTCATGCTGTTCCTTATTAGCACTAGCACACGCATCGCCAACCAACCACGTATCGTAGCCGCGATTAAAGGCCGCGCGCGCCGAAGTATCGCAAGAGCAATCGGTCATGACGCCGCAGACGACAACCCTCTCGACGCCCTTACTGCGCAGCAGGTTGTCCAGCCCATCGGCCTTCGGATCCACGCCCAGAAACGCGTCGTACGTGTTCTTGGCGACGACGTCGAGCTGCTGCGCCGCCGGCAGCGAGGCCCGCAACGCCTGGATCTCGGGCACGAACTGCCAGCCGTGTGTGTCCAGGTGCACCGTGTCGTCGACGCCCCATTTGCGCACGACTTGGTTGGGGAAGGGCGGCAGGAGCTCGGCCGCGCTGTGCCCGTGCTGCGTGAAGAGTACTGGGTAAGAGGATGTTGCGAAGTGGGTGGCCAGCTTGAGGACGTTGGGCACGGCGGCGGTGCTCATGGGCGCGAAGAAGTTTTGCATGTCGACGATGAGGAGAGCGGTCGCCATAATGAGTGGATGGGTGGATTGATGGATGCGAGGTGAGGTTTCACGGCAGGGCAACTGGAGCTTACATACCTACCTACATACCTCAGCTGTGAGGGGTAGCCGTGAGGGGTAGTTTGACGGGATGTACCTAGAGCTTATCTAGAGTATGATGTCACTCGTTTGCAATCGCCGGGTCGGCCCGTAGCGAGCCTCACTTGGCCGCGCTTGGCTGACAGCAGTTGGCAGCGGAAAGACGGCACCAATGGCTTTCTACCGATTGTGCCATCCCCCGAAAAAACTTGCCATGCACGCACAGACTCAGCAAAGCAAATCCATCGCGACAATGCCCTTCAACTCGGCGTCCAGGCGCAGTACTTATTGTTCGGCCTGACCGCTGCCGCCCTCATTCACGATTGCCAGCGCGACGACAAGGAAAAATGGCACCAAGGGACATCGAAACCACGCTCGACGACTCGCCCGCTGCCGATCATCTCCCCTATCGCACGCCCCGAGCTCGTGTCCGAGTCCATCTGGCTGCCGAAGTCAGCCCTACGCATGCCGATCTCCTGCTATTGGTGTGTTCGTTGATCTCGGGCTTGATGGACAGCACCCTGTACAATGGTGGGCCATCCATCCGCAGAGCCCGGCGCTGCAGGGCCCCACGTGCTGACTTGTTCCCCATAGCCTACAATACCTTCGTCTCCATGCAGACAGGCAACACCATCTTCATCGCGCTCGGCGCCAGCAACCAGAACAACAAGCCGTACGGGTGGGCGCGGTCGCTATGCTCACTGGGCTTCTTCGTCATAGGCTCGTTCTTCTTCTCGCGCCTGCACAAGCACCTCGGCCCGCGCCGCCGCAAAACGCTCGTCTCGTCCTTCCTCCTACAAACGGCCTTTATCGTCGTCGCCGCCGCCCTCGTGCAAGGCGGCGCCATCAACGGCTCCGTCCCCAACCCCTCCTTCACCCAAGTCCACTGGAACGAACTCGCGCCCATCGCCCTGCTGAGCTTCCAGGCCGCCGCCCAGATCGTCACCAGCCGCGCTCTTGCGTTCGCTGAGATCCCGACTATTGTCATCACCAGCTTGCTCTGCGACCTCTTCTCCGACCCGGCCTTGACGGCTCCTGTCTCCCAGAACGTGAAGCGCAATCGCCGCGCGGCGGCGTTTACGCTTACGTTGGTCGGCGCAATTGCCGGTGGCTGGATCTCCAAGGCCACCAAGGGCGTGCAGGCGGCGTTGTGGCTTGTTGCGGGGCTCAAGCTGGCGATTACTGGTGCTTGGGCGTGCTGGCCTGCCAAGTAGGTAGTGGGTTCTTATCGTGAGATGTTTGGAAGCGCTCCACGGCTATTCTTAGACAACAGGCATTGTTTACTGCTGCTTACCTATTCTTGAAGGTGCGCAACTGCACTTGTATGAACTTACCTGGTTAGCTACTTCACAAACGAGACTGAAGTCGACCCTCATTCGATTCTCAGCATACGCGAGGGCTGGTGGAAAATAGACGAGATCGGATACACGAAATAGATGGCGGACATGGGAAGGGATATCTGACAATATACTGCGGAATCTGTTTTGCAGCGATAGAGATAACCACCATCTATCTCATCATTGACTCCTCTGCCCATCGTATCGACAAACCGGTGATATCATTCTTCACGACGGTAAGCTACGTAGTACTCGTAGACTAGGTTGTATCCATCACAAAAGCCACAGGCCTATGCACGCATACGCCACCTTTCCCATCTCTCTACCCATAGAATAGAGTAGAGTAGATGGCAAAAGCCCATGCCCTCGCCTCTCGGACTCTCGAAAACGCGATCTGGGCCTTTTGCGGCTAAAGCACCTAACCTACACCACACTATTCTGCACGGCAGGCTCCGCGGAGTGAGCGACTGCTAGGAGTAGCACAAAGCTTGTTTTGGCCTGCGGGCACGGGTAGCAGAATATTCTCCCTTCCTCCCTCTACTCCATCCCTGGCCCGCCCATCCATCGAGATGCCACAACCAACGTCGGCTTGCTTGCTTGTTTGCGTCAACGTGCCTGCAGAGAGGCTAGTGCCTACTAACCGACTATAATCCGCCACCTGGATACCGCTGCGCCGCCCGGGATAGGTTTGCTCGTTCTGGCTTGGGGGAAGGGACGGCAGGCGGCTTGGAGGCGTGGAGGCTCGGCGCTGGCGGTTGGGCGCACCCGCCACCTTGCTTCCTCCAGCGGGGTTGTCGAGCACTCTTTTCGGCCGCCGGCCAGAACAACCATCCAACCAACCAACCTCGAAGCTCTGTCAATACCCTGTCCCGGCAGTCTGTTTCGTGCTCCGCTGCCTACTCGTACTCGCATAAACCGCGCTTAGGTGCCGTGGGTGCCTGAAGTCGCCACCCGTCAATATATTCTTCAGACAAGGCTCCGATCAGCCCTGAGAGCCCCATCGTTTGCAGCGGCATCTCTCTTCAGCCTAACGGAGGCGGGCAGGGCTCCGTAGCGCGCGCGACACGGGCGCGGGAACCGAGCCAATCAAGAAATGTGGAGTACAGAGACCACATCGGGAGGCTGCAAGTGCGATCAAACTCGTGTCTCGCCAAACGGGAATCCCACGGAGCACAAATGTTCAACAGTAACGTCGTCGGCCCGCCCACCGACTCCGACTCTTCAGCAGTGGCCTGATGCTGCGCAACTGGCGATACAAATATCTGCCTTCCGCTCCAACGACCCGCGCGTCTTGAATGCCACACGACCCTCCGGTGCCACGCCGCTTCTGTGGGCCCCCGGCACGGCAAGAAGGTTGCAATACCGCTCACAGAGAGGCCGAGGAGAAACGATGGGATCCCTTTCCCTCCAGACGCCCCTCCCGCACGCGAACGGCTGCGGAATGACGAGGTGATTGGCACGGAGCCAGGTCCGCTAGGCCTAACCCGGTGCAGCGAGCGCCTACAAGGGTCCTTCCGGCCGCATATTCATAAAAGAAAAAAAAACCCCAATACCGCGGGCGTCCTAACAGTGGCGCAAGTGTCGCGAAGCAGGATGCGAAAGCTGGGGCTTTGTTGTTGTGCTGATTCGCGGGCGGAGTCAACCCCGACTCGCAATTGGCCGGATCTTACAACCGCATCTCACACTGCGTTGCCGTGACGAATCTCGGCTCTTTTGGAACGTGGAAAGCCATGAACTGCCGCCTGCCGCGCGCGCAAGCATAATAATCTCGAGCAACATACAAGGTACGGCACTCGAGGCGGGGTCAGCTAGCAACCACATGCCGCCTCCATCGCGCGCTGTTTTAATCCCCCCCCCCCATCACGTTCGCAAACAGACCAGACACGCGTAGCATCGACCTACCCCGACCCAACTCCACATCCATAAAACACGCTTGGACCATAAAATGGCCAGCACCATCCATTACCCCCAAATGGACAGCTTCCTTCCCCACCACCATTACGTCGACAATACATCGCCCACCAGACTGCGCGGGGACCCGGCCAAATTCACCGGCTCAACGCTCGTCGACGCGCCGACCGAAGAAGACTCCAACTTGACCCTCAGCATGAACTCCGTCTCTAGCATAGCCGATCCCCTAGCTGCCGTCATGCATACGGGATCCTTCTATGACCCGTGGCATTGCAATTACATGGACGAGGAGGCAACGCATTTGCGCGCGGCCTCCGCCTTTTTCAAGTACAGCGGGCTTTCTGACGGCTTGCTCCATCATCTTCCGTCGACGTCGACGGCAAGCGACAGCAACGTGGCCGAGAGCTCCGAGAGCATCAGCAGCGGCCAAGCTTTCTCCGACGACGGTTCCTCGCCTACCATTGCGCCCGCGGCCCTGCTCGCGTACAACAACCCTATGAACGCCGGCGACGCGGAAGACGACTCCGATGAGCTCACTGCCACTCCATCGGACAACAACAGCGACGACAACGACAATGATGATGTCGTCTCCACCAACAACAAGAAGCGCCGCAGATCCGCCAACGACGCCGAGGGCAACAACAAGAGCCGCACCAACAACACACCCACCTCACCCCACCCCAAGCGACGCCACACAACCACAAACCTCCCCATCAACACCAACACCAACTCCAACTCCAACTCCAACAACACCAGCAGCATCAAGCGCGAGCGCTTCCTCGAGAAAAACCGCGCCGCCGCGCACCGCTGCCGGCAGAAGAAGAAGAAGTGGGCCGTCGACATGGACGACCAGTGCCGCGAGCTGAAAGCCCGCAACGCCTCGCTGCAGCTGCACATAGCGCAGCTGAACGACGAGGCCTACGGGCTCAAGATGCTCCTCCTCCAGCATGGCGACTGCGGCTTCCCGCCTATTATGGCGTATATTGAGGAGACAGCTGAGGGGCTGGTGCAGCATCAGCTGCGGCGACGGCAGCAGCAGAAGGGCGAGGAGGCGGCGTGTTAGGTTGTTGGGGTGGGTTGAGCGGTGGTGGTGGGGAGGAAAAATGACATGGCCCCCCTAGGCCTAAGTATGGCACATGGCACATGGCACATGGCAGCAGCAGCAGCAGGCGCGTTTGGCATTTGTTGGCATTTTCTGGGCGAGGGCAGGCCCAACTTACCTAGGTTAATACACGAAGCAACGATTTTCCTTGTTCTTGTCTAAAGACTCGCTTTGCTGAGCTGGTGCTTGATGGTTGATAGTGGTGGACGAGGGCGCCACCAACTAGAGTAAGGTAGCAGTAGGTAGTGGCTAGTGCGGCCGCCACACCCAGCTACACACAGCCACAGCCGGCGCGCCAGCCCGGCCAATCACGTCGTTTGCCCTGTCCAACCCGTGGAGTGCTTGTGCTTGTGCGGCCAAGAGAGAACAGGACAAGACAGAGCAGAGTAGAGTGAGTACTTTAGCTGGTACGAGTAGGGAGGGGTGCTGAGCCTGCGCTACTAATTTTACTACTACGGCTTTGTTTATGAGAGGGCAAGTGCAAGATATAAGATATAAAGAGAGGACGCTGGCTCGATATAGTCGATGTCCATGTCTGGCGATGTCCATGTCCATGTCCATGTCGATACAAACAATCACCACCGAAAACGACTCCGTATACTATACAGTATATCAAACAACGACTGACTACTCAACCAACCCCCACCGCTACACCCGTCCGTGGAAAACCAAACCAAATCTCAATCTCAATCTAGCCGCCGTTGCGAAAGTTGCCGAAATCGCGCGAGACTACTCCTACCAACCCCACACAACGCCGCCGAAAGGACTGCTTCAACAAGACCTAGAGTGGCTCTTGGAGCTTTGCCGGGCCTTGGCTTATGTCCGTTCTGTTATTTGCGTGCGTGCCAGAGAAGCAACCTAGGCTCGGCTCGGCTCGGCTCGGCTGCATCCGCCGACCTCGATTTCATTCATCTTTGCAACATGCCGTGAGGAAGTCTCATGCCAAGTTGATCGTCTCTTTGGTGTGGTGCCGTCATTCAGTGCGCGCGGCTTTCGAAGGCGATGATGATGGTGGTGGTCGGCTCACGTCGATTGCTGAGCTGATTGTTACTTCAGACTATCGTGTCGTGTCGGCGGGGCCTCCTGGAGCGGCATTTAATTGAAAGATTAATAAAGAGGCTGTGAAATTCTAGACTCCTGATCTACGGATATCAGCTTGCTGGCTGCGTGTAACGTGAACGGCAAAGGGCGCAAGCATACCAAAACTGTAAGCTAACCCCAGTAGACAGTTTGAAGTTCAGTTGTTGCTTGTCTATTGGGCTTTGGACGATTAAGGGAAAATCTTAATAGCCCCCTCCAAATATAATAGGAGCTGGGCATTTATTTTAGAACAGAAACACGGCCTGGCTTGGAAGAGAAGCCATCTTACCACTGCAAGGTCTACCAGGGAAGAGTATGGCCATCCGCTCGACATCCCGCGTTATTACGAGATGAAGATCCCACCCACCACATTACACAGTGGGCTTCTTCTCCATGGCGGCACCAGTGCCATCATTCGCTGCTCATCCGCAAAATAGTGTAACGTCCAGTGCTTGGCTACCACACCGATGACATCATCCAGATACCGGGTTTGTGCAGCTGCTGCATCCTTGAAGACAAGTATTAAGTGCGCGACGCCGGTTGTGTCCTTCCTCGATGCCGGCTGCTTGAAGGCGTGAAGGGGAGTCGAATCATTCGAGTTCCTACAATCAAGGATGCGGTAGTGTGTGCCAATTATGTATGCCGTGTCGGTATTCGCACCTGTACGTGGCCTGCTCACCCTACGTCCCCTCAGCGGCTTGATGCCTTGCGGCATGCCCAAAGTGTGCATCAAGCCCCGCCGCTGATTGTCGAGTGCCACTGAGGGGCGTCATCATCGTTGTCTTCGTCATCGTCGTCTTCGTCTTCGTCTTCGTCTCCTTCGATTACTGGCGCACGAGCGGAGTTATCCAGGTAAGGCAAACCGGGGGAGGCTGGCTGGGCTGCAGCCCATGAGTCCTGTAGCAATCATCATCAGTATCCGGGCATTCGGAACGCACGCGTCGGTCAGACCCATCGACCAAGGCCCTCCGGCCCAGCGCCGAAATCTATTTCACCCAGCGGAGACGAGCCCAGAAGCGTGTCTGGCGGAGACGACATCGAATATGAAGGCCGGCTGCGGGTGAAGTGGGCCGTCTCGAGTGAGGGGTCGATCTTGTCGATCAGCATGGCCCTCTCCATCTCGGTCATGGCGGCCGAGCCGTCGCAGGTTTCGGGAGAAGTGGCTCCTCGGAAGGTGGCAGCGACATCTTCGAGGCTGTGGAAGTCGGTCTCGACCAGGTTGTGGAGGACAGCGAAGGTGGCATCCGTAACCGGGGCCCTGCACAGGCCGCGGATAACTTCCTTGAAGTTGTCAAGCTGCCTCGTGCAGGCGGCCAGCTTGTCGTCGAGATGCAGGTTCATCGACTTCAGGGCAGTGGTGCGGCGCTGGTCGCCGGCAGCGTCATAGACGCAGTCGTCGGGATTGCGAGCTAGGCAGGCGGCGCAGACGGGGCGGGTGCCATCGCATTTGCTCTTGCGGTTCTGGCAGGGGACGCAGGCGACGGTGGTGATGCGAACACGCTTGGAAAAATGCTTGGGGGGGCGATCAGACATGATGGAGGCGAGAAAGTGGCGGCGCGCGATTTGGGGCAGCCCGTGACAAAAGAGAAAGCAGGGCGGGAAAGATGGAGTATACTCCGTCCGCTGCCCGCCACGCCCGGAGCCGGGCCCGACCAATCATCTGGCGCGCGGAGCAGACTCCGCCATCCTCGACTTCCATTTGTCTACTTTCACGTGTGAGGTACTCCGGCGCTCGCCAGACACAAGTTCACGATGCTGAACAGCCCCTCACCCAGGATCAGTCCCGATGCCAGCACTATCACCGGCGTTTCCTGCCTGCCCCTGTACCGTCGCCACCAGAGACTCACCATGCCGCCAACCGCCCGCGCCAGCGTAAACGACGGAGTGTTGTACATGCCTGCCATCGCCCCGTTAGCCCTAAATGGTACCGTCCGCGTCTGTGCGTCCCGCTCTGCTTACCCACTGCTACCGCTATCCCCCCTGGAACAAATCTCGTCCACTTCCTTCCGCCTTGCCTGCCAGCCTCCCACACCCTCGCCGCCGTACCAAGCGCAAAGACCAACCCTGCGCCGATCGCCCACTGTGCAACCATCGCCGGCAGCCCTTTGCCCGTGACCAGCCTCGCCGTGAAGATCCAGACGAACCCCGTGGGGATCTCGAACAACTTCCCGGGAACATCATACACGCTGGTGTACAGCTTGTACACAAACGCCGAGAGCACAGCCCCGACAGCCGATCCAATCATCTGGCCCCAAAACTGCGCGTTGGGCGCGGCTCCTAGCAGGTGGCCTGTCTTCAGGTCCTGCAACAGGTCTCCTGCCTGGAGAGCCCCCGACTCGGTTATGGCGCCGGCTACAAGGTTGATGACGACAGCATTCTTGTTTGTGGATGCGTGCGGGATGGCAATGGCGATCAATAGCTGCGTGAGCTTGGAGATACCTGAAACGGGGTTGAGATCGGTCTCGCCGAGGGCTCTCACCCCCATAATGGAAAGCAACAATGCAAGGAGGAGAGAAAGGATATTGAGACCTATTGGAACGAGGTTACCGAAAACATAGTGCACCGCACCAATGCTGAGGGCCAGAGACAATACAAGGCCGATAAGAGTGGTGCGCGTCGAGATGAGGTGCTCCGGAGGAGCATCCACTTCGGCGGAAGCTGCTGTATCTTTGCCGCTGCCCTGGTCGGAATGATCTCTAATTGCCGAATATCCCTTGAGCGAGCTGGCTTCAAAGGAGAAGACGTCCCTCCACGACCCACGTCGTACACGATCCTGCAGCCGTGGCAACCAAAGCCGACCGTAACCGACAAGTGGTCTGAGGACAAGCCAGCCAAGACTGACGAGCGAGTCCGCCAGCATGATGGATAGACTGACCCAGACAATCCAGCCTTTGCTACCTGTTTCCCAATCACTAACTGGGCCGGGGGCCCAGCCTTTGTGCTTGGCCAAGGGCGACAAGATCCCCCAGCCCAGAACGGCACCGAGAAGCATGTGCAGCGTGGTCTCAGGGCCCATAATAATTCCTTGCCCGATGTAGGCCGGTGAAGGGTTGAGCGTCCACAACCAGTCCTTTGCGAGCGTCAAGCCAAAAATAGGAAGATGACGGAGTTGGGGGACGAAATAGGTACAGATGGTCTGCTAGACGTAAGTAAGTGCAGAGGCGAAGATTGTGAAACTTACATAGACAGCGGAGACCCCAAAAGATACAATCAGTAGCCTTATCTTAGCCCTCCAATCACTGCTTTGGTCTAGACCGGTCCCTGATTCGTCGTCATATGTCTGTTCCGGGTAGGTCTGCAGCGGAGACTCATCCCCGGCAGGCGCAGTCGATGCACCACCAGCAAGGAGATGAACTTCCTCTTCGTTCTCTTCAGAGGTCCCTCTCGCCGTTTTGTTGTCATCCTGCAGGATCACTGCACCCTTGCCCTGATCTCCGTGCAATACCCCGATCATGAGTGCCGTAGCCGTCCCGCTCGGGAACTTGAGTTTCTCCCGGATGATGACTTGCCTCCTCAAAGGCACCGCAAAGACGCAACCAAAGAAGCATATGCCTACGGCCCAGAGCACCAGCTTCCATAAGCCGATGTCCAGAGGTCCATTCTCTTCTGGCTTCAACAAGTACTGCAACGCGGGTACCACCCCAACGAAGCCGCAGCCCAGTGGTCCCGTTCCGACCGAACCAGCCACCGATTGTATGAGGACGTTTTCGACAGGTGAGAAGGGGAGCCGCAGATGTTTCGATACGAGCCGGAACCAAGCGAAGCCCAGCAAAGCCGAGGGCATGGCCATGCTGCTAACCCAGCCCGTCTGCAGGCCAAAGTACATGTTGGAGAAGCAGATGACGATGCCGATGGCGAGGCCGACGAGCACGCCGCGCAGCGTGAAGTTCTGTGGTGCCGACGCGCGCGCCGCCAGTGTGTCCTGGGCATTGCGACGCTGTGCCTGGGCAACAGTGGGGGTCGCAGATGCGGATGTGGATGCGCCGTCGCGACGAGCGTCGGCGATGGGGTCGGAGGCTGGGGTACGCGAGAGCATGGGTGTCGTAGGCGAGAGGTCCCTGTCGGGCGACGAACCTCTGTCGGGCGCCATGGTGAAGAGAGGAGAGGCGGGATCGCAGCGTTGGTGTTGAGGGATGAAAGGCGTCTCGGGAGATTCGATGATGCGCCGGGAGCCGGGTTGGCACGTTGGGTTGATGTAAGTGTTGGCTCTTGCTTCCGCCATGACCACCTTCGAGCACGACATCCTCTCCACCTCGGCCAATATTCGTAAGCAACGAGCACATTGACTGTCACGAGGAGCGGTTATGCAACCAAGGAGTCGTGTTCGCGTGGATCGAATGATGAATGCCGAGTTTGAGTGCGTGCCAGCAGTTAGTCTCTCGTTCGCTGGTACGCCCAGTATCAACTCCACGTCAAAAATATAGAGCGACTGAGCATCGGTTTTAACTACTCATCTCTCTCTATTCTGCAATCCACCTAAGTAAAAGAATGATTATCGAAAACTAGAGGTGTCGGTGCTGAGGCCCTTCACATAACCCTACAGCTCGATACCATTTCTCCTACTCGATTGACGACCTTCTTCCTAAACATGTCTCTTATACACTCACACACTAATCGTTAAGCAACAACATGGGTTTCTTCTCCTTAAATTTTCCCATCCCACCGCCGACTCAACTCCAACACGCAAGGATTTTATATCCTTCTGCGACAAGATGTCGGACCCCAGCAAACGTGGCATACTTGTCGGCATCCCTCACCGCAGATACGTCTCCTATCCCACAACTTATGTCGACATGGTAAACGCCGCACGTCATCCCGCGACTCCGAAAGCCGTTGCCGTTACTGTATGTATTCTCATGGAATTTTTTCCCGGCTGGAATATACTTCCCGTACTGATTCCAACCCAGGGCCAAGAGGTACAGCAATCAGACGCAACCGAAGCGACCACTAAATGTTGCAAGACGCTTGAAGACATGGAGCCCCCTCCGTCTAGCCAATGCGTGAAGCGTTCTCCGACCCCGCTGGCGGAGTTGCTATTGACTCCGCCATCGACGCCGCCAAAGTCGCCTCCAAGCCTCACCGAAGAGGGGAAGCAGCAGCACGAATCTCGGGACATGGGCCGTGACAAGCGCGAGAAGGAAGGTGATGGCAAGAATACCCGCGGCATCAAGAGGCGCAAGCTCCATCAGGACGACAGCCGGAAGGCTGGAGAAGAAGATGACCAGCCAGGCTTCTTTAGGAACGGGAACGGGAACCTCGAGCTTCCGCTGTGGTAGCCATCTCTCGGCCAAAGTCTGTTTTTATTTGTTCTCCCTTCCCCGTCGTGCTTCTTCTTTCCTTGGAGGAGACGAAAGGCACAATCGGAGGGCTTACAAAACACCAATGCCAATTGGAGATGCGGGGCATGGGCGGCGGAGAGTTGGATAGATTAATCCGTATGCATCCCCAGACAGTAAATACCCCGGGGTGGGTCCCTTGGCCCAGCCCTATCGTACTCGTAATCGATAAGGCGACATGACTCGCCGATCTGCACGTGATCTGCAGCGCGCGCGCGCCCGGATCCACGGGACAACGACGAGCTCGACGGACTTGCCATGTCGGACTGCCAGGAGATGAGTGCCGCCTCGGCCGTACGCGCTGCCGCCAGTATCCGGACGGAAGACCATGGTTCCTGGCGCGCAGAAGCCTCTCCGGCCCCCGTCACACCCCCGGCGCACCCGCGCAAAAAACAGGTCCAGCGCCATCATCATCTTACCTCTTCACTTTCAGCTACAACCCTGGCCTCCTTCCCGGAACATGCGCCCTCGCTGCGCCGAGACTCGACAACTTCTGCTACACCTACTCCCACTCTGACCCTAACAACCTCCAACGACGACTCCTTCTACGCCGCTCTTTCCAACCTTTTCGCTTGCTCGACCTCCGCCCGACTCTCCGCTTGCCTGGCCCGCTCTGCCCTGCCGCTCCTGCCGCCCTTTGCAGCCTGCTGGTATCCCGCCATGGCCATCTCCGCCCAAGCCCACATTCCGAGCACTCCGCGCGTCATCAGCCCGTCGCCAACGCCCTCTGAGTCGAGCGCCTCGGGCTACTTCACGCGCTCGGCTGCGCGCCGCGCAAACAGCACGCGCGACGTCACGTCACCCATGTCGATCAGCGAGGTCGACGACCCGGACGAGCTGGGCCGCCGCGCCAGAGTGCGCAGCAGGAGCCCCGTCAAGCGTCGCATGAGCGGCTTGACTATCGCCGACAAAGCCAAACTCGAAAACAGCAAGTCCACGTTGGGCTCGCGCAACAAGAAGGACCTGCACCTGCCCAACGGCGACACCAACGGCCACCTCTCGCCCGCCAGCGCCTCGTCGTCGAATAAAGAGTACTGGCGCAGCCTCAGCCGGAGCCCCAGCCCGTTGGGATTGATTCCGATCCACCAAGAGTGGCGGTTGTTTGTGCGTCCATCTTGTTTCGGACCAGTGTAACGTAGGGAGGAGAAGCTAACCACGAGCGTGCCCACAGATTCACCGCCACGAGATCCCACGGAAGGTGCTGCACACGTCCATTGGCTTTCTGACTCTCGGCCTCTACACGTCGCGCACGCAGCCCTCGTCGATCCACCCCATCCTGCTCTCCCTCCTCATCCCCATCGCCACCGTCGACTTCTTCCGGCACCGCTTCTCGGCCCTGAACCGCACGTACATCCGCCTGCTCGGCGCGCTGATGCGCGAGTCCGAGGTCGACGGCTGGAACGGCGTCATCTGGTACCTGTTCGGCACGTGGGCAGCGCTGCGCTTCTTCCCCAAGGACGTGGGCGTCCTGGCCGTCATGCTGCTGTCGTGGTGCGACACGGCGGCCAGCACGGCCGGTCGCCGCTGGGGCAAGTACACGCCCAAGGTACGGCAGGGCAAGAGCCTGGCGGGCAGCGCGGCGGCGCTGCTCACGGGCGTCGCCACGGCGCTGTGGTTCTACGGCTGGGTCGCGCCCAGCTTCCAGACCGCGTACCCCGGCATTGACGCCGGCGAGAACGCGTTCGCGTTCCAGGGGCGCTTGACGCTGCCGGGCTCGGTCAGCGGCCTGTTGGGCTGGAGCGAGGGCCAGGGGAGCGTGGGCGGCGGGTTGGCGCTCGGTGTTATGAGCGTGTGGGCGGGCTTTGTGGCCAGTGCCAGCGAGGCGCTTGACCTGTTTGGGTGGGACGACAATGTCACGATTCCGATTCTGTGCGCTGGAGGGCTGTGGGGTTTCTTGAAGGTGTTTGGACAGGCGTGAGGACAGAGTATGGGACTGAATGACAGGAGTGAATAGTAGGCGGGGACGACGGGACGGGCTTGGACACTATGTTTTGCAATCATCTCGCGCTACGACAAACAGATGGATGGATTGATGGGTGGACGGACGGACGAATGGGTAGGGCAAACTAGGGCGGCGTTCAGGCGCGACATTGACATGATACCAGACGGGAAAGGGAAGGAAAGGAAAGGAAACTCACCGAAACACGAGAGATAAAGATGACTACATATACAAGAGAGGGAGGAATGGGATGGGATGGGATGCGGGAAAATGCGCACTGCGTGGGTACTGTACTTAGGAGGCGGGTAGACAGACAGACAATAGGTGGATGGATGGAGGCCGGGTAAATCACTGCTCTTTTTTCTTGTCTCTTGTTTCTTGTTTCTTTTCTCGTTTCGTGGTTCCTGTTTCCATTGCTCGTTGGGTGGACGAAGAGAAAGATTTTGTTTGTGTTCGTTTTTTTCTTTCTGTGGCTCTGTGTGTTGTGCGCGCGGGGGTGGGTGAAGGGGTGTTGTCTGTGGGTATGCTTGTGTGTATGCTTGTGTGTATGTAGATAGGGTAGGGTAGGGTAGGGTAGGTCATGGACGGATGGACGAACAGATAGCTGCGTGGGTAGGGGGGTGGGTAGGGCGCAGCGTCGGGAGTAATGTCTAGTCTTGTTTGGTTGCCTTATTGGTGATGGTTCTTGTTGATGTGGACGTGAGTAGGTAGGTGATATTGCGGTATAGTATATAGCTAGGCATTATTCATTGTTTTATTTCCTAATCTAGTCCCTCTCACGAGCTCGCACCCGGCCGAGCCACATTGTCACAGCACTGCACGGCACAGCGGTTCCGAACTAAACACACCCCCGTATGGCTGGCTGGCTGGGAATAGATGTCGAAATAGCGAATAACTTCCTATGTACAAGTAAGCAATACAACTAGCTATGTATGTATGCGCGTACGTAGGTAGGCGGTTGAGGCGAGAAGAAATCCATCCATCCATACCTACATGTGGACGACCATCGGGCAAGGCGGGGCCGAGGGATGCCCGACCGGGGTAGGGATCTAGGTATCTAGGTACATACGAACGTCGTCACGTACGTCGTGCAGCAAGCATCCCGGCGCCGTCCGTAGCAGCTGGAGCACAGCACATATAAGGCAGCGCGAGGACCCCGCGAGCGGAGCGAGGCTATTTCCAACGACTCTGTCCTGTCCTGTACCACACCCCACATACCCCACCACCACCACCACAACCACAACCACAACCAGACCCCCAACCCCAACACCCATGGCGCGCCCAGGCCGCCTCCTCATCTCCCTCGCAGCACTGGTCACCGGCCTCGGCGCCCTCGCCGCCGACTTCAACGTCACCCACATCTACAACCCCACCTGGCCGGGCCACGCCAAATTCCACGTCGGCCAGACCATGGCCATGGCCGTGCTGCTGTGCTGCGCGTCGCTGTGGTTGCTTTGGGTGCCTGCTGCTGCCTCTGCCACAACCTCCACCTCCATCACCGCCGCAAACGGCGCGGCGAGAGAACGCAAAGAGGGCAGAGGCGACACAGACAAAGTGCGCACGGCGGTGCAACGGCAGCGCCTCGATGCCGCGGCCCTGCTCGCCGCCATCTACTGGGTTACGCAGATGGCCGCCTACGCTTTTCCCGGCACCACGCCCTTTGATGTCATCCCTGGGCGGGTGGACCCGGATCCGCTGCTCCAGTTCAAGCTCGAGGTCGCGATGCTGGCGTTTGTCGGGGTGGGGTGGTGGCTGGAGCGCTGAGTCGGGGGGGGGGGGGGGGGGGGGGGGGGGGGGGGGGGGGGGGGGGGGAGGGATGTGCGGGACGACTTGTCAGTGGCGAGATACAAATGTTATACCACTCGCTACTCGAGTAGGTGCTCATCAAGCGTACATTAGTCTAATTACGTAGTTCATCCATATGGCCATCCCATCCATGCGTGCGGCATCCAACGTGAGCGTACAGTAGGTACATACATAGCCTCGCGGCGTCATCCAAATAATCTTTCTTTCCCATCATCCAATTGTTCTTCCGTCATCCAAGCACCCAACACACACTTACAACTCCTCGGCGTTGTACGCCCGCCTCGCCTCGACGGTCGACTCCTTGGCCTCGAGAGCCGCCGGCGCAGGCACGTCGTCGGGATTGGCCACGCCCTCGGTGCGGATGAGGTAGTCGCACACGTCGTCCTCCATGCGGTCCATCAGGTCCTCAAGCTGCTTGGCCTCCTTCTTCTTGGCGAGGTCGGCGTCCTTCTTCTTCTGCAGCAGCATGCGCATGACGGTGCTGATCAGCAGCGCCGTGCCCGCGCCCACCCACATGATGTTCTTCTTGGCGTAGTAAGGGAGCAGGTACGCGCGGCAGTGCAGCGGCATGCCCGACGCAAGGGGATCCTCGAGCCGCTCCACGCACGCGTCGTAGGCCACCGTGAAGCGCGTGTGCAGCTTGTTGACCCGGCACGCAATCGTCTTGCACTCGACCAGATTCGGGTTCCAGCCGGGGTACAGGTCGTGCGCCTTGTTGATGAACTCGACGTTCTTGCTCGCCCACAGGAAGTGCTGCACCTGGGGCGGCTCGATCCACGCCTCGCGGTCGGCGAAGGGGTACGGGTCCGCGGCTGTGGGCGCGGCGTTCTGCTGGATGCGCAGGATCGTGTTCTTGGGCTTGCGCGAGTACGACAGGCGGAATCCCGTCAGCGCCGCTGGCACCGGCCCGTTGTCCTGCGCCTCAATGTGCGTCACGTTGAAGACGACGCCCTTGACGTCGTGGGTGCCGTTCTTGACGAGCGTCTCGAAGCTGATGCTGCCGCGCAGGTTCGTCGTGTAGGGCCCCGCGATGGGCGCGCCGTCGGCGTCGTAGCGCGTCGGCGCGTACAGCTGGATGGCGCTGTTGATGTTGCCGCTCTCTTCCTTGCCCACGTGCACAAATGGCAGCTCCTCGTCCTCGACCGTGTAGCCGTTGATCTGGGCGGCGTCGTCGCCGTCCAGGCCCAGATGGCGCGTGATGCGCACGTCGAACTCGAGCACGCCGTCGATCAGCTTCGACTTGGGCTTGGCCGGGTCGGAGCGGAAGCAGCGCTGGCACTCAATGGGGAACTGGACGTGGGTGAAGCCATTGCGACCGTCGGTGGTGCGGACGGCCAGCTCTTCGATGGCGGGGTACGACTTGGCCGGGGCTGCGGCAGTGGCGGCGCAGGCAGCGAGAAGGGCGTAGGTGGTGCGCATGGTGGGGTTTGTGGGAGGAGGAGGAGGAGGGAGAGGGGGAGGTAGAGGAAAGGAAAGGCGGGGAAGAAGAAGAAGAAGACGAAGACGAAGATGAAGAAGAAAGGAGATGGGGATGGGGAGGGATGGAAGCGCGTGGAGGGCGAGCGCGACTTTTTGCTGTGCTGGCCCAAGGATTCGCATGGGCCAGGGGTCCACACGCTTTCCAGAATTCCGCCAGAAGCTTCGTCACGTGCTTTCCCCATGCGGGGTTCGTTTGTCTCGTTTCAGGCCCACCCGCGGCTCCTCCAACCTTTCCATGACCTCTCTGCGGCTCTTCCTCTCTCTATATGTGTCTTCTGTGACTATTTCCATCGCTCTCATCCGCACCTTCGACAATGAGAAACACACACCTTCGCTGACCGGCAACTGCTGCCGAGGCTACATACGCCTCATTCACCGCTCTCCACCGGTAAACCCTCGGCGGGTGGAGAGTGGAGCATTCCCTCACGCCTCGGCCCGGTGCTATCCTCAACAAGGCAACTTTTGACCTCGAATGAATTATACATGTCTCAGCTGGCTATGTGGCTATCCCGGCTCTTCTATTGGCAACCTAAGGCATCGTGCCTGCTGACATCAGACCCGCCGAGCAAGATAAGAGCGGGACTGAGAACGGGGCTGTGAGCGAAGGATTTTCTACATAAGATTGAAACTTACCCCTACTTTGCTAACTAACTCCCTGTACTCTAGCTACGAAAATGGACCAACTGGACGTGGACGAAAGCATCAATACCAACACTTTCAACAACCTCAACCTCGACGAACCATTAGATGATGACTCCAGTTCCGATGAAGAAAGTTCTAACCATGTCCTTCCCGAATGCCAAATCTGTGAGACGATACCAAGCGAGCTTTTCCCGCCCGAAGAACTTTACAGACTGTTTCATGAAGATTGTTCTGCATGCCCGGATGAGGATTGGGTACTTTGCGACTGGTGTCGGCATGCCAGACTCAAACACATCTTTCTATGTCCAAACGCGGGAGACGACGTGGTTTTGGATCCGATTCTAATGCCACATATAAAGACTCGCATATTCGAACAAACTGCCACCGATTGTGCGTTTTGTTCTTTCGTGGAGGCCATGGCGAATGAGGCCCTTAAGGGATCTTCCCTGGAAAATTGCTTGATAGTTGGGATTGCATCAGACATCCTTTCTTTAGGCATTCGATCCGCACCACCCTATATGCGCGCCAGACAGTTGAGAGTCTATTTTCACGGTGAAGAAAACGGTGAAGACCAAAACTACTGGGACGTTCCAGTGGGGTTGGGTGTCAAATCCCCGAGCTTGTCCAGCACGTATTCTCAAGGGTCAGTTGTGGAATTTTGGCAACCGACTACAAACCATAATCCAGCCACAGAAACAGCCAGTATGGTCGTGAGAAATACGCTTTCAAGACCATCACGAGCCACCATCAATTGGGATGCCATAAGGGCTTTACTTGCAGTTTGCTGTAAGGAACACCCGAACTGCCACTCGGAAGGAGCCATGTTACCATCGGGTTTCCGGGTAATTGATGTGGAGCGACGATGCATCGTGGAACCGAAAGAGACGATAGAATACTCTGCATTGAGCTACGTCTGGGGAGAAGCGGCGAAGATCGAACAACAGAAGCCAGGAAAGCTGACAAAGTCACTGCTGGGGCAGTTCGAACGCAGAGACAGCCTCTCACCATCCGAGTTGCCAAGGACAATCGAGGACGCGATCCAAGCATGCCTAGCTTTACGGATCCAATATCTATGGGTTGACCGTTTCTGTATCATTCAAGACGATGAACACAACAAGGCTCGCCATATCCAAGCTATGGGGGAAATATTTGCATCCGCGAATCTTGCTTTCATAGCAACTGGAGCAAATGATATGCATTCGGGCATTTCTGGAATCAGCAACCCTCGAAAGGCGGCTCAATGGACACTCAGTTCGTTCAGCTCGGATCTTGTGCAGACGCTACCGGCACTAGAGGATGCTATTGTAAATAGTAGATGGAGTCCAAGAGCTTGGACTTACCAAGAAGCTGTGTTGTCACGCAGGAAGCTCTGGCTCACGAGTGCTGAGGTATATTTTCAATGCGGCGAGGGGGAATTTACAGAAGACTTCTTCGTAGACTTGAATGGTTTTCCCAGTGAACATACCCAACTGCTCTGGTCCGAAGGAATCCCTACCAGCAATTTGTACTTTCTACTTCTAGCACAGTACAGCGAGCGATCTCTCACTTACAATTCCGACGTTTACAACGCATTCACTGGGATTGCGAACATGATCTACAAGACAGACGCTTTGGTATACGGACTGCCACGTGCTGATTTCGATCAAGCTTTACTTTGGAATGTATGGGGCTTCGAGCCTCACAAAGCTCGTATTGCGGAAACAGTATTGTTGCCGAGTTGGTCCTGGGCCTCTATCGACAGCCAGGGAGTCGGCATACGATCTCTCCCCTATCAGCGTGCATTCTGCGGCTCTTTGGTGCAGTGGGTCGTGTGCACGGAATCTGAGGGACAGGTCTCACTTGAACCCATCAGAGCAGACAACACACCAAAAGCCTGGGAGACGGAACGGAAGGGGAACGCTTCCCTGTACATGGCACTGGCCTGTATCGAAGACTGCTTTCTGTCTGCCCGGTCCGCGGAGCTTTTGCTCTGCCGTAATGGCACTTTTAACGAGCTGGGCCTCGCTGCGGATGCTTTATGGCCCACTTACAAATCATTTTGTCGAGATCTGTACTCAAGGCAAGAGGGGACTCCATGGCTCCATTCTATCAAGAAGCAACCCGGAACCTTGCTCGGTCGCACTCAGACGGCCATGCTAAGGTTCTCCATACAAATTGATGATCCGGACTTCACCTTTGGTTTCGGCATTTGCGATGACTACGGCCAGCAAATCGGAGCAGTGGCGATGCCCGAGCAGCTATGGTCGGAGCTCAAGGGATCCCGGATCAAAGTCATTGCGCTATCAGTCTCGGCACTAAAGTTTGATTATCCGGCTTTGGTTTACGCTGGATACTTCGCGCCTTACTGCCAGGATATTCGGCGGGGAGGAGACATTTCCAAAGTCCAGCCGGCCACGGAAAAGGTACTGCAGGACAGAAACGAAAACTTGACGTTCTTTGATTCGGAGGGAAAGGCCCTTTTACCGCCGCCGCTGGTTGAGCTCATGGTAGTCGAGGAAGAGGGGAATTGCTACCGCCGCGTTGGCTTGGGATGGGCGTTTTTGTCTCGTTGGGTCTATGTGGAGCGGACAATTGAGTCTTTGGCTTTGATATAGCAGTGATACATGGTTGTGTACACGTTGCGGCGCTCTTTCTAGGACACGTCGCATGGGAGGATGGTGCGAGTTTTCCCGGCCTTGCAGAATGCAGGGTGAGTGTATAAACGAATAATAGCATATTCCAAGTACTCAGCCCGAACAAACCTAAGCCGTCTGGTCACGAACAAACAACAACAACTTCCAACGCCGTACCTTTGGTCATAATCCGTTACCAGGAAGCAAATCAAATTTCCTCAACCCAGACGGATTTTTAAAAACAGCCGCAGCGCCACACCTACCTAACTTCCAACGGCGACCACGCGTCATTCCTCTTCCACAACCCCTCTTCTTTGGTGTTCCGCACGCACATATACATACATATGCCTGGTTCGACACGTCTTGTCGCTAGATTGACGCCTGCTCCAACGCTCGCCTGCTTGGATATCTCCTGGCGTTCTTTCCGCCTGTTGTTTGATGCCTGCTTCACTTGCGATCATGCTGTTGTTTCTGCAACCTGCCGACCCGGAAGCTCTATGGAAGATCCTTCTACAACCAAATAACTGGCAAACTACTCTACACATTCCAGCCGGGAGTGAATATCCCCTGAAAAGCTATTTTGCTATGCTGACGTCTCTGGCATAGAGTTGCGGAGAGGGAGCGGCACTTACCCCGGCAGTCCCATCACATCATGTCGTTCGACCGACCTATCATGTTCCATTATTCGCCTCTCTCCTTGTTCGTGACGTTGCGACCTCGTTCTCAATAAATTTGTTGTGGAATGCCTGGTAATGACGTACCCGTCTCGTCACTTCCTGTTGTCGCCGTGACTTGCCTAATTCGGCGCCAATACGACATCCGCTCTCCGGTCCAAGAAACGGTCTGTGTAGTTGCATCTGTGCAATCCCAGACAAAAAAGCACTCGTATACTGGGAACAAAGACCCGGCGCAGCCTCTGAGTACAGGCAAAGCCGACTTAAGTACACGTTCTATTCATAGTGACGTGGTGCTCAGGAGACGAAGCAGCGGCCCGGCGATCGGCCCTAAATTGGATGGCTTGCATGGTATAAGAAGCAGGAGCCTCAAATTACGGCGGGGAACGGCGGGGAGAGGCTAAGCCTGAACAGGTAAATCAACGTTTGAGCACCAATCAACCTTGTCGCGTCTTTTTGTGCTATCCAGGTCCCTGTAAACGTCTGTGACACGTTTTGGGGAGGCCACCTCGTATTACCTGACAAGTTCGTATCCAGCAAGTACATATACAATGCTGTAGGACCCAGCATTCCAAACTCACATCTATCAACTCCCGTTCAATCGTTTCAACCCGCCATCGACAGCATGCACGCCTTTATCATCATCTCCTCCCTCGCGGCCATCGCCGCCGCCGCCACCAACGGCACCTTCACCGACGACCGCGGTGTCTGGACCATCACCAAGTTCAACTACCACACCACGCCCTCTGGTGCCCACCCCTTCTACCAGTTCGACGCCCAGTACTCGGGCGATGCCGCCGACAAGGTCAACTCCTGCTCTCGCGAGTACGGCGGCTCCCCCGACGCTAAGCGTCCCGGCCCTTACTGCAGCGACCCGGCGCTCAGCTTCGAGGTCAACGAGTCCGAGAAAAGTACGTAGAATGTTTAAGTGTTAGGTGTGAGTGGGCTTTGGCTAACTTGCTTCTCTGCAGTTCTGTCGCTTACTCAGACTATCAACGAGCATGAGGTCATCCGTGGCGAGCAGAAGTTCGAGTTGGACTGCCACAACGACTCCAACGGTGCCTATATCTGCAACGCGGATACTTTTAAGGTTTCCGTTAGCACGGCCGTTGCTTAAAGGCGAAATAATACAAGGAAAGATGCTACGATTTGGAATGTGTACAATTAATTTTTTGATATTTGTAAAATCAGGGCATATCAAATCGTTTCAAAGCGCAACTTGAAAATCTACTATCTTTCAAAACCAATGTCTCAAGACATCCTCCTCCGGACCACAAAGGGCATTTGAACTAAGCGTACAGCTTTCCGGGAATAGGGACCGTCACATCAAAACTTGTAAACGTAATATGACCGACGCCGTCCTCACCCTGTCCTTCCTTGGCAACTCCCCACTGTACAGGGAGCTGTGCAGCACCCGTGTCGTTTTCTGGTGGATGACAAGCTGCAGATATCGCCGCACTAGAGCTTGACATGAGCGGCATGCCGCCCGGAAACTTCCGATACGCCATTACGATGCCGCTGATCATAATGATGCAACCAACACAAGTGGTAAAGATGATTGCTACAGGGGAATAGCCGCACGTTGATATTTCCCTTTTATAGTCCGGTTTTCGGTCTCTGGAAATGATTGTGACGCTGACCATAAATAGGCTCTGCGAGGCCAGCCAGTGGAGAAGAACACTGGTGATATTTAATGGAATGGCGTACCGGTAGGGCAGTTGGAGCCAGAATGTACTACGCTGCTGCCCCGTTGGAAAGGTGACTCGAAGAGGCTTAATAGATTGCTTATAACAAGCTAACTCGCGTTGAACGAGCATGCGCGTGAGAAGCGCATTAAAGGAGACGTAAAGGTAAGAAAGTATCACTTGCGGTGCATTGGCAAGCAACACTCCTCCCATTATTGAAGTTCTGGTATGCAGCAAATTATTCCCTAGGAAGAGTCAGTACTGTTTAGTAACGAAAAAAAGTATCACGTACCTTGCAATTGGCCAAAACCAGTAGCCCAAAGATCTTTGATGTTGGATGGCATACCGGCAAGAGACTTATCAATAGCAATTATGGCAAAGACTAAGGAACCCCAGTATGAAAGGTATGAGATGATCCATCGCTTCCCATTGGCAGCGTTGTACCACCTCAATTTTTCCGGATTATATTTTCTTGGCTTGTTTGGCGATTGCGAAAGCTGGATCTCCTTCCACTCCCATTCGAGTCGAAAATCTCGTCTTTCGTGAATACAGCGCCCTTTGGTTTCCGCCTCGGGCTCGTCTAAAAAGTAAGATATGGCGTCTCCAACAGTAACAACATAATGATTGTAATATCGGAAAGCCACAGTGAACATGCAGCAAACTTTGACAAAGTTGCAAATGATAACAATGATCGCAATTTTAAGGCTGAACTGAAGTTTACACACTTCTTCAACCTTCTCTACGAGACAATGCGAGACTGGACTTCCGTATGGGGCCCACGAACCATTTGCTGGTATTTCGGCCGTGCGAGTGATGTGGCAGTCTTGAATACTTCGCGATGGACATCTCCATCCATTGGCGGGAAATACATCTGCAAAGCTCTGGTACGGCAGGTGATCATCGTAGTTTAAGTTTGTTGTCAGTGGCCAAGAAATCTTAACCCATTCGTAGTAGCTTGAGTCGTTCCAAACAGGGCTATAATTAGCCGGACTGTGCCAGACGATCTGGTTTTGAAATATAAGGACGTCGCCATGTTGAGATACGTATTGGCTGTTATATGCCTCTAGACATTCGTGTGCTGTGAGGTTGTCGGTTTTAAGTGTTTTAAATTTGTCGCGAAGTACTTCAGCCTCGGAGAGGTTAAATGAATTGTCTACGGCGGTGAATTCAGAAGTGTCGTAATTATGTCCGTTAAAGAAATTATCGGTGACTGGCAACACTTGGTAGTCGTTTGCTTGAATTCTTGCAAAGACGACAGAATTAAACAAAAAATGAAGTGGCACAGAGCTGGTTAATAAAAGGGTCCAGAGTAGCATTCTGCCGCGGCCGATGTACCAAAGATTGCGAGTATTTGGAACGCCTATATGGAGCCAGATTCGGTTTCGGTGCGCCTTGGAAATTTCCGCTTTGGTTGGCGAACAGAGCACTTGCATGCAGTAATTGCTGGCCGCTAGGAGAATTGTACTCAGGACATTAATGAGCAAGTGGATCCAGCGACTTAAGTTCTTAACAGCATCGCAACTGCTGTCAGACAAGATTTTCCAGTCCTTGCCATCGTGCTCGAATTTGTGATTCGCCATTACGTAGATCGTTGTGCCGATATTGCATAGCATTACACAGAGTGCTATACTCGCGGCGACAGTAACGCCTACTCGCCATCCGGAAAACCGTTTTTGTACATTGTAGTCGGAAGGAGTTTCCGGCTCCTGAAGAAGTGCCGAATCCTGAGAAAGCACCGAGTCTTGAAGAAGTTCCGAATCTTGTGGTCTTGGTATGGCTGGCGATCTTAAAAAGGTTAGCAATCGCCAGATGACTAAACAAAAGGTTTCATACAGTCTGTGTTCAAGGAGCTCAAGCTGACTACTACTTTCGTTGTCTTCGTTTACATCCGAAGTCCTTCGGTACTTCGTTTGCTGTCGGTAAATCATGGTGATTGTTCTCAATGTGTGAGTCGTAGGCGTAACTTGGTAAGACGGTATCAGTCGGTGGGGGAAGGACGGGCTTTAAGTATGAAGAGGCGGAATGTCAGCGCACCAAGGCTGAGTACAAGCCTTGCAGTATGGTGTGACCTGCTGCACGCCCCAATGTGCGACACAAATCAGGTATTTCTGACCGAAATCAGTCCCGACAAACTACCACAAAATCGTATAGTCTTTCTACAATTGTACTTGAATAGCGTGCTTTGAACTACTTAAATCCCCACTAATTTGGAAAGTGGAGAGTTGCTCGATGATGAGTCTCTTGTGGAAGTCAAGCGGAACCAACGCTGTTGTAAGATTTAGTCAACCGAATTGTGTAACGACTGCTAGCCAATCACATAGGAATAGCAGCCTACATGGGTTGTACGGCCTTATTACTGTCTCAGAAACTCACAAAAGAACGTGGTCCCAGAACTAGCCTAGACAACATTGAGTAAGAATAGCCTCTGGGCCGACAGGTAATAATAAGACATAAGTACTATCCTAATAAGTACGCCTGACACTATAACTTTACGTAAGATATACTTCCCATATTTACCAAGCTCAACATGCTTAACGTACTTAATTTTCTGCAACTGAATTCGTAATGTCCCTAGCAAGCCATGTAAGCGAAACATCCAAGAGCACTTATAAGTACGTCCCTAACGGTTAGTTGGCTAAATAAAAGTAGTAATAGTGATTTGGTAGTAGAAGGTTAATGTGCGAGCGATTAGGCTACAAAGAGGTATCCTCTCTCTTGTAAGTCTCCCCATTTATTCGAGACGGGAGAGAAAAATTTTGTTTCTAATATGCCGCATACAAACTCTTAAACTTATTGCCTTTTTATAACGCATGGTATATTGAACTTGAGCAATTTGAAATTAGATGGGCTTAAAAAAACACCATATTCTCCCACCTTCCTTCCGCGCCCTCTAGAACTTCCCCATGCATTACTCCGTAAACATAGCACTCCCCTACAACTCTCCACCTATCACCTACTCTACGTACCACAAGCGGCATCTTTGCTCCCCTTAACACGCAAATTACATCCCCTACACTGGTCCCCAACGGACCTAAGCCAATGAACCCCTTTTCGGTAGCAAAAAGACGTCGTACACACTGTCCACGGACCATATAGGCTTTACACATATGCAAAAATGGCTTCCTAGATACACCAACGGCGTCCCATATCGCAGGCTCATGCACAACCTCTGGTGGGTGCGGACGAGGGCCCGCACACTCCCAGAATGGGCTACGATCGTTGTCTAGGCCCAAAATAGAGGGTGATGCAAATGGCGCATGACTGAGAATGTCAAATGCCGTGTGATATATCATTGACGTTGTCGGGTAAGTACCGCGGGCATCGAAGGGCGAAAACATGTCGCTCCAGACCTTAGGATCTCCGCGACGGTCTGCAGGCTCGACGGCTGATATCGTGAGAACGGGAAGGCCAGTTGCGGCTAGCAAGGGAGGTTCTGCTGAAGAAGATGGAGGTGTTGTGAGGAAGACGTTGGTCGTTTCGCCTGGGCCACCGGACGAAACCTCATCTGTGTTGTCCATTTTCACGGAAGTGGCTCCGTATTCCATCCAGCAGTCTAGAAGAGGCGCAGCGAGCGGTGGCAGGTTCCAGTCAGGGAGCCAGGATGGCCAAGCCGGGTCCGTAGTAAGTTTTCGGTCGTCCACGTACTGAAGGAAGTCAAGCGTTCGAACTTTGGAGCGGACACTTAGCCAGTAGCAGATAAACTCGATGTACACGTCCCGGCTCGATTTAGACGGCGAATAGTTTACAGTGAAGCGTTTGCGTGAGGGATGAAAGAACCCTGTTTGGCCCGTTGGGGAAGATGTTTCCAACTCGAGGCTTAAAAGGCTATAGATTTTGTCCCGAGGATCAGTCGCTTGCGTTGTACGAAGCTGGCCTATAAGGTTGAGCATTGGTGAGTAGTTGATGATACGTGGCTTGGTGGGTTGTTGAATATCGGCAAGATACCGGTCTATGATTAGGTTCTCGTACATGTTTACGATGCTGCTGATGCTCTCAAAGACTTCGGCCTTGGTTTCAGAGAAGAGCTTTTCAAGTTGTCCTATTTCATCGGCCTCGAAATACCGTATGATCACTCTTACCCAAGGGACCTTTTTCACAGCCCGCCCGTTTACAACAAATTGCATACTTTTGATCGCATTGTGGACGACCATGCTTGCAAGTTGAAACGTATGAAAATTAAGCGTGCAATTGCCTTGTTGAAAGACAAGAATTGATCTTGCGGCACCAGCAACTGCTTCTTGAAACACCCAGGCGCGTTGGAACCAGGGGCTGTGAATGAGGTTGATAAATGCCAGGTAGTTTTTTGGATGCCACGGATCGTATCGGTATTGTTCCTCTGGAGGATGAGCTTCGAGCTCTTCAATTTCAATGTCTTCTTGTCCATGGTAGCGAGGGCCTTGTACAGGCACCGGAGATGAAAATGGGTTGCCGTCATCTGCAGTCAACTCAGAAGCGCAGAGGAACGCATTCGCAGTCCATTCCTGCTCTTTGCCTAACCACGCCACGACTTTTTTAGCGTTTTTGAAGATGGTGTACATGTGCTCCACCTGTTGCGCTCGCTCTTCCAAGTCACCCTGATTGATACACAGTGCATCGACCCAAAGAGTTAGGAATAACTTCTCGTGTCTTAGTGACAATAACGCTTCCTCGAGGTTCGGTCCGATACCGAGATATTTCGTTCTCAGGTTGTCTGGAGATTGGTAATCGTATGGTAGATGCCATAGCCCGGAGACTCTGTCATCAATTCTACCCTTCAAATAGGCCTCGGGATCCTGGTCAACTGTGTGCGCAGGCCCAAGGTCCTCTCGAAACCGGTTCAGGACCATTGGTCCAATGTCTTTTAGCGGTAAATGCGAAACGGAGACATGGTCGCATCTTATCCATCGCACCGGCTTTGGTGAGCCCCAGACGTAAGAAAGTGCGAAATAGTTTATTATGGTGTTGAGTGGCTCTGTTATAATATCACAGCGGAGGTCGTCGGTACGCTTCCCAGGATGGAGGATAAGGAGCCGGAAGTATCCATTTTCTAAAGGGCGATATCTAAAACGCCGGTAAGGTAGAAGGGCCTTGATGGCAGATCGTATCAATCCGTTGCTCATTTTAGACAAGGTATTGTGAGAGGGAGACTTCTTGACGGATCGTAAAGGATTGGTACTTTGACCTTGCTTTATGTAGCACACTATGTGCAATAGCTTCAGGATCCCATCGATATCTGCTGCCGGTGGTCTGGAAGTATTGAGTGAAGTACTTTTCGACGTGTTGAAAACTCTTCATATCTTGCTTACACCGCCTTGCAAGGATCGGACGCTTTTCCTAGAGTTGTATAAACAAGCGAGTATAGCTTAGTTCTCGCACAAAAGGATGAGACAAGTTAAGTAAAATCGGAAAGACGCGGGGGGTACAAATTACATTTAGTGAAAAATTAAGCGTACGTCCGGACCGATCCATTCGGACCGTAGTGTGGTTTTTCACATGTCCAATCCGGACTGCGCTAAACAATGTATAATAACCATTTAAGCAGACCGGGCAATCCTACCATCTAGAATTCGTATGTTTATCGCAGGTAGTTACTATGCCTTTCGTTTAGCGACCCGACGTACAAATTCTCAAGCATAGTGTTTTTAGTTGACAGCAGACACGTTACTATACATGAAAACAGGTTAACGGTTGAGATAAGGCAGTCAGTAATACTTGCATCGACAAACATGGATAAGAAAAGTGCTTTATTGTGAGGGCCAAGAGGTGGATTAAATGCATTTCCGCCCTATATTCTAGTGACAAACAAAGACGCGTAAAACCATCTATGTCTTCAGGGCATTTTCACCGGCACTCTGTTTGCTCAGCCCGGTTGAACAAAGGAAGCTCCGTGCATATGTTTGTGGCATCCGCCTACAGGCTATTTCATTCATATTTCCCACACTTTCCCCCCCTTTCTTTTTGAAAATCTGTCGTTCTCGTAATTTTGATTTCCTATATACAAATGCTCATGATCAGCAAAGCTAACTTTGTTACGATGTTCCGAGATAAATTGAGAAAAAGAGCCTGAGTATGCTTGCCGTCGATGAAATATTGCGTTAACGGTCTGCGATTAGGGATGGTGGCTTTCTAATTTAGCTCCTGTCATATGTCACCATTCTATTCGGCATCATTCCGATTGTCGTCATGCTTCAGGATCCCACCGTATCCTTCACGACTTGTAAGGCAATAAGATAACGTTGCATAATTTCATTCATAATTCGTAGATAGATGAATGTAGGTAGTTAGGTACAAAACACTTTGCAGTCCTCCTTGATTTTGTAGTTTTCCCAGATCGCAGCACCAACTCTATTTTTCGAACGAAAAATATGCTTAGGAGTGGATAACCTCAATGATATATTCGCCCTTACGGTACTGGCCGCCAACCCTGCCATTGGACAAGCAGGTCTGCTGGATAGCATTGGCCAGAGAAGCGACCTCGGGGCACGACATACCACCGGGGCTACCGCACATAGAAATAGCAGCTTCTTTGTGGCTGACCTGAGTTGTGCAGCCGCTGCCCATGTCATTGTCGTTTCCGCATGCGTACGTCTCCTGCCCGCGGACTTGGTTGATAACGTCCGTAACGGATCCCGTATCAGGACTACCCTCAGTGGTTTCGCAGGTGATGCCATCGGGGACGTCCCGGGTGGTAGCTGGGACGGCGATGCCAACAGGGAGGCTCGCTGCGAGAGCTAGAGCAATGGCGAAGAACTTGGTGTTGGCGAACATCTGAAATTGTTAGTAGCCTTCTAGTAACTAGCGATGCGGCACATGCGTACATTGATGGTGATTTGTTTCCGAGACTTGTACAGTGTACTCGTGATTTGTATTCTTGGATCGTAGGTAGTGATTGAAGGAGAAAGGTAGTGATGGTGTGTCCCAAGGGCTGTTTATCAGTGCTTTATATATGCGTCTCCTACATCCCCCTCTCACTGTCACATAACCGGGCAGTGCAGTGCATGGCGAAAAAATTGAACATGATTCTGCTCACCACCGCATGCTTCATCGTTGATGGTGGGACTTGTGGACCTGCTTAGTGGAGCGTGGATGATTTGGATGACATGGCAGATAGAAAGCACAAACGCAAGGTGCTTACTACGTAGGCCCTTGCTCTTTTCGGGGGATGGCAGTAGCTGGGCTTAGGGCTCGGTGGCGGTCCCTCTCGAAGACCACGACGAAGAGGCGCAGCGGTGACGAAGCGCGGCCCATGCTCATTAGGCGCCGGTGATCTGGCTGGGTGTGTTGCCCTTGTGGTGATACTGGTACTGAGCATCTTCTACTCCATACTGATGCGGTATCGGCTGGCCGTGTATCTATTTCATAAACTCGCTTCGGATTGGCCACTTTACACACAGAGGCCGCTGCCGTCGGAAATGCTGTTTTACTTCTGCATCTGCTCACATTGTTCTTCATTGACCCCGAAGTTTCTTTTCATCCCAGCTCACTGGTCCCATACTCTCAACGATGAAACTGAGGGGACAGGCATGTTGAGAATGCTTGGTGGCCTAAATAGACTAATAGGGCGACATTTGCGAGAGATCTGCACAACGTGGCACGTGGGGGCGGAAAAGCCCCATTGGCTCCGTTTTGTCGCCGTCGAGCGAGAAATCGGCAAGATTGCCGTAAGTAGTAATAGGTGTGAATTCTAGCGGTGCCTAAGCTACATGGCGGTGTTATGTCGCCGCCAGCTCGTCCCAACGGGCGGACATAGCAGGGCCAGCCAGCAACAAAATAAGCACATGGAGCGACCACAAGTGTAACATCAGGCGATAATGGAAGGCCTAGCAGGCGGTATACGATACCAACGTAATAAGCATCCAATGCCATTCAATCAATAAGACGTAGCTGTCTTGAGATAATGATTTCGTTACCAGGTAAGGCAGTTGAATACTCATTTACTGATAACTAAACTCCTGCCCGATAAGTTCCTCGCTGAGCTTCCACAATCTTTCGGCTTCAATGCTGCTAGTAGCCCATGGCTTCACCGTGTCCGTCCATGCGTCCGCAATGCGGGAATCTTGCAGATAAGCCCCATTGTGTTCTGTTTTACTTAGCGGTGTATTTGCTGGAACCTTTTACAAGGCGGACGGTGAAAATATCTCTTACCTTTCAAACTCGGCGAAAATGCCGCGTAAACGTGCGTCGCGGCACCCTGCTCGGCTGTCTTGGCGTTGAAGCTGCCCCATCCTTCGGCATTCCCCAGAAATTTGTCCACCTCTTGGAGACCAGGTATATCGACATTCCAATCGAGATGGCTTCCGAGCGTCGTAGTCATAATTACACCTGGGTGAAGACTAAACGCCAAAAGTCCACGTTTTTGCCCAAGCTTCTCGGCTAGAGAAATGGCCATTAGCATATTCGCCGTCTTGGACTGGCCGTAGGCTCTCCATTTGTTGTATGTTTCACCTTCCTAGCAATCGTAAGAATATTAGATCGGAGCATTATTTTTAAAACAGACAGCACGTACCCTGAAATTATAATCTCCCCAGCGAATCGGGCTGAGGCGGTGTCCGTCACTGCTGACACTGACTACGCGCGAAGATTTCGACGCCAGTATTTTGTCCATGACGAGGTTGGTAAAGAGGAAATGCCCGAGATGGTTGGTGGCAAATTGGCTTTCAAAGCCGTCAGGGGAGAGGGCATAATTGGTTGCCATGATGCCAGCGTTGTTGACCAGCACGTCGATATGCGTAACATCCTCGCATGAAATAACTTCAGCAGCGGCTTTGCGTACCAAATCCAGCGATCCAAGGTCAAGCTGAAGAAGGCGCACTTGTACATTTGGCTGCTTCGCGGTAATAGCATCTGCTGTCTTCTGGAGTTTCTTTGTATCGCGGCTAGCCAGGATCAACATGGCTGGTTGTCCTGAGGCAATGCTTTCCACGAAAGTAGCGCCGAGGGTGCTGGGCGATACACCGGTGGTGAGGACAATCTTGCCCTTGATTTCACTTGTAAAGTCGTTGACCAATTCATCTGCCGTCGTGTTAGAATTGTATGAAGGCGTCATGGTGTTTTCCGAGCTATGTATGAATAAGGAAAGTCGAGAAAAAGCGCAGGTAGCGGCGTTACGTAGTATATGTTAAAAGATTGCGACAATTCTTTGAAGGGTGGACGTCGCTTTTATGCTTTCCGCAACCAACCGCTCGGACCAAAGCATTGTGTTATCTCCGACATGACTGCGCAAACACCTAAATCCGTATTAACCCCGCATACTTCTTCCGTCATTCTTACGGAGTTTAGTTTCTGCAGTAAAGACTACATTTATAGTCGTACTTGTCCACATCGGACCGTGCGGCGTTAACTACAGAAGAGTCAGATGTGGACAAACTCGGTTCTGCGGTGCAGATACCCGGAAAGTACTACTTTTGCTCGCTTGTCTGGGAGTGGTTCTTTCTGACCGACCAGCATAGGAAAGGCGAGCAGGCGCATCTCGACATGTTCCTCGACGGGCGTTAATGCTTCTCCCAATTACTGTCACAAAACCACCCAGACAGTCATGCACTGCGGCTGCGAACAAAGCTGGCCAATGGCGACGCTGACGACCGCGTTACGGAATCAAATCCCAGACGAATTGCTCACTTAACCTCACTCAGTTGCGATCTCCCGCAAAGTAGGAAGAACAGATTTAGCATCTGGGATACTAAAAGGTTGACTGACAAACTGAAACGTTCACATTCCTAACCATAAGATGCAACATCCACTGCACCTGCCCTCAGTCCTCATCAGTGCTGGGAACTACCTGTGAGATGCGCGTCTCCACAGTAATGCGGGTCGGGTTCTGCTGCACGACGAAGCGCCCATTCCCAACGAACTTGTGATGTCCCAGAAACGAGTACCGGGGATCACCAGCCTCGAAGGTGTGCTCACTCTCTGAGTCTTTTCATTAGCGAGTCTGTCCCATTTACGGTAGAAGAGGGGGAGAAGCAAACGCACCGGTTCCGAATGGGAACGTCTTTTCGACAGGTTTTCCCTCCAAGACTTCCTGTAGTTCTTTCGTGATTTGAAAAACGCCTGTATACGACAGTGCGATGACCTGCAGATAAACACGTGTGTAAATGGCGTCTTTCTTTGTCTCTAATCTGGAACAAGGGGACCTACAGCGCCATCTTTAGTCCTGAATTTCTTCGCGTTAGCATTGTTAACTAGCTGCATTGCATCTGCACTTACTTAGCCACGGCCTTCACGTCCGGTCGCGCCCGCGGCTGATTGGCGTCGATGGTCATCCAGTCGGCGCCAAAGAAAATGTCAGCCTCGAGTTTGGGCTCGAAGCCCTCGGCGCTGGTAAGTGTGCCAGTTGAAGTTTGCTAGATGCCAGTGGTTAGGCAATTGTGGTGTGGAACGCAGAAGATAGATTGTTACCCAGTGTGTAAGGTTTGAGCCCCCGGCTGTAGTGCCTGATTATAAATGAGCCCGGATGCCGAAGACGAAATTATAGACGAATACGTACCAACAGGGTTGCTGTCGGTCACGTTGAGCTGTTGCTTTGGTAAGTTTATCAACGAGAGCGGCCATCACGCATGGATCACTAGCCTTGAGGATAAAGGCTGGCTTCAGGGAGGGGTAACCGGTAAGTTGTTTGGCCATCTTTGCTTTCGAATTGGTATGCTGCCGCTCTAGGTGATGGGCAACAGACAATTAATATAAGTGCCACGATAATTGGCAAACGAAAACCGGGTAGCCTTGCATCTGCTGTGACATCTATGATGGTCAACTTACCCCGCCTCAACCCCGCCTTCCGGGTCTGTTGGGATCCGATTTTGCTTTTCTTGCATACAATCATGCATCTCTCTCCGCTCGCTTATGTCGTCACGTTCTACAGACATGCTTTTTCGATGATGCAATCCGTTACATTGCTGCTAGCAGCCACTGCTGCTGCAACTATGCCGTGTTCCGAACAACAGTGGCAAGTTAACGGGTATGTACAGCGTTTAGCCACATCGGCGCAAACAAATGAATTGGCTGCATCGTACAATGGTTCACTACATGCCCTAAAAATCGCTGGTCATAGGTGCTTGTCACGACAAGAGATAGTATAGTATAGCCGTACAGGCTAAGTTCTACATTTAGTAGAACATGAGCTTACTTATAAGGTTTTCTCCGTAAAAATAGCTAATTGATGCGTTATAATTTATCTATGTGTAATTATCATCTTTCGTATATTTGTAAAGGAACTAAAAATCCGAGGTATATTAATTTACTTTACATAGTATCTTAGATTTGTATTTTAAAAACTGGAATGCCGCTCTCTATAACATTCTATTAAGAATTCGAACCATAGTAAGCTACAGTCCTATAAGAAGCTGGTTGGCCAAAGACTTCCACAAAGAAGATCGCAGTCGAATTCCCTACTACCCTAGTAAGCTAATCCCCCATCTCCGCACCAAATACCTATCATACTACTATAAGGAAGCCGGGATTATCTCGAGTCCTAGCTCCTTAAACAGCCATGTCCGAAGCTCCGTCCCAATCATGCTATCAAGGCCATAGCTCGCAACGCTCGGCCCCGCAAACTCAAATACATCGGTCGGCACCATCAAGATATCCGCGCGCGGCGCACCTATACATAATATACGCCGCCTCGTCGCCCTCTTACTATACGGCCGCGATGCGTGCGTAAAAGTCCTATGCGTCGCCGCTGCCGCTACTACTGGCCGGTACACTTTACATGTTCATGCCTAAGGCGGCGCGGCGCCACGTGTGCGAGACGCGCATCGTTATACCAGTACACGTTCGCGGGGTCGGATTCGGCGAGCGCGACGCCCAAGGTCATATACGCCCCAGGGAACGAAGCGTCTACGCTTATAGGCGCTGACTATATCATCGCCATCTCAAAGCTGGTTCGCGCGACCAGAAGCGTCTAATCAATAAATTTGGTTTTTATTCTAAAGAGGAATAAAGAGAAATAAAAGTAGGGGTCACTTTCTGCGTAGGTATTCGGAAGCAGAAAAACAAAGAAAACGTCTTGCATATATTTGTGTGACCGCAAGCTTGCCGGTTAACTTATCATAGCCGCTCCCACAAGCCTTCTCGGAACCAAAATTCCACCCCTTCTTCTCGCTCCACCCGTCACCAACATGCCCACGTTTAATCCCGCTAAGGACATCCCTGATCTTTCGGGCAAAGTCATTCTTATAACCGGCGGTACGCGAACGGCTCCTCTCGGCCACATGTACGCATATCTAACCCTTCCTTCTCCTAGGTACTTCGGGCATTGGCCTTACCTCGGTACACCTTCTCGCCCCGCACAAACCCTCGCATATCTACTTCACCGGCCGCAACGCTACCGCCGCCGAATCCGTCATCTCGGCTGCGCAAGTCTCGGCCCCGACCGTACCCGTTACCTTTATCCCGCTCGACCTCGCCGGTCCGCGTACAGAGATCCGCGCTACCCTAGCCCCACACTTCTCCGGCCCGGACGCCCGCCTTAATATCTTAATCGCGAACGCTAGTATCATGGCTACGCCGCCCGGCCTTACTACCGAGGGCTAGGAGCGGCAGTAGGGCACTAACTACATAGGGCATGCCGTAGTGCTGAAATCGCTGCGGGGCGTAATACGCCGCACTACCGCTTCAAAGGCTGCCGATATACGCTTCGTGTCGCTATCATCCGTAGGATATTACATGCATCCGACGGGCGGAGTACAGTTCGACTCGCTTCGCAGCGCCGATGCGATAGGCAAGTAGAACGCGTATAGGCAGAGCAAGCTAGGAAACATAATTGAGTTGAGTTGAGTTGAGTTATATTCATTTACCCTGACCCATCGCCCTAACCTAGAAACCCCATAGTAGTTAGGGCAGACTACCATGGCGGCCCTCAGTAAATCTCAGAACGGCCTTCGAAAATTTCAGTCTGCCCC